GTCCTGATACTACGCCTGCATTGTCACAGTCTAGTACTGAAACGACGCAGGCAATACCAGGAGGACAGGAAACTACACCTGCACCAACTGAATGCCAGTGTGTCAAACACAGTAAACCTAAAAGGAAACGTTCAAGACGTCATAAGACCTCGAAGGCGTCATCAAGGAAGGGAGAAGAATGTCAGGCGTGTAGTATCATAGTTTCTAGAACTGACTCAGCGTTTGAAAGCAATTTTCGCAAACGATGGGTGCACTGCCGTTGTGACAATGAGGTACCGAAAGCATACTACAAGTTTATGAGAAATAACCCATGCCCATGATTTTAGTACATTTGTCCACTTTGACGCCCTGGCATGGTCCCACAAAGCGTGTCTGTGGATAGCGGAAACAACACGTCGCTCTTGTGTCCCAACACAGTCCCATGCAGCTCCCCACCTGCTAACACCACGCTGCCAAAACTTGGCACAGACAGTTAGAAGGACTCTCCTGTCCTACTGACTGGAAATGACAATCATCACAAGGTGAAGATTCACAAGTTTGCACCCACAACATCAGGGGATGATAGAATTACAAAAGCACCACTTGCATCCACTAGCAAGCTTGGCAACACAACAAAGGCTGGCCAGAACCTGATGAAGCCTAAAATTGCTGACGCTGCAAAGGAATGCAAGAAGCCAAGGGCCAAACCTAAGCCTGAGGTTAGTCGGTCCAACTCTCTTATCCTCTTTAACGTACCTGTGAGCAAGGATAGCTCGTGTGAACAACGTGCCCTGTTTAATCAGGAACAGTGGTCCAACCTGTGCAATAAACTAGGTCTGAACATTGGTTCAGCAAAATTGTGCAGGCTGTACAGGGGTTTCCACACGCCTCAGGATAAGCCACTTCATTAAGGGTTACACTGGACTCTGTCGAAGAGCACTATTAATGGCTCAGATACTAGCCATGGACAGAAGTTCGAACATAAAGGTGAGACAAGTCAGATCGTGGGCTATCAGACAAACGGAAAGGGAGTCACTGGAACTGATGCCTTCTATCTCTATGGTGGTACACGGTGTTCCGGAACTGCAAACGGGCACTGCTTGTGAAAAACATATGCACGACGTATAGCAAATGAGATGGCTGTCATCTCATATGGTCTTTGGCGCTTCTGGAGCCATCTCCGACTACCTCACCCCGCTCATCTCACACTGATTATTTCCCTTAGGCTGCTAAGTGACACATTCAACTCCCCAGAGCAGTTGGCCATAGCAATTCAACGGTGGTATGAGACCAAGGGAAAATGGGAGGACACATCCGATGCTGCGAAAGCAGACCTCGAACCATAAGGAGGCAGCAAACAGAGGCCCTAACACGTCCTCAAGCTTCAGTGACACTAGAGCGATGCAGTTCTGAGAATAACAGTCTGTTTCACCCAAGTGTCCTGTCTAAATCCCTGGAAAAATACTACAACAGGCCGGTTTCATTGGAATCGACCAAGTAGTCCAAACATTAAGTCCCCTACCAGCAGACAACGTAAAGTCAACTACCGCACAACACACTGAGGTTGTTAGACTCACTGTCAGCTGCCTATATAGCAGTGTGAGAGGGCTGAGAGGAAAAGTAGGTGAACTCCGAAATCTCCAAGCACACCTACAAGTGAGAATGATCATTCTCACTGAAACGTGGCTAAATATAACTTTCGCCGACAATGAATTCAGTATAGGTGATATGGTTCTAGTCAGGAGAGGCAGGTGTAATAAGGAAGGAGGGAAGTTGCCATATACTGCATCAAGCAACTTAAATGTATGAGTGCAATGGACCCACCACTTATTGAACTCCCAGACTCCATATGATGTCACTTTACCGCAGGCCACACCAAGCATCTACTGTGTGGCATCTACCGACCTCCTACCTGTGGGGCAGAGCACAATCAGCTACCACTCAGCACTATCACAGGGATGCGAGACTTGGGCTATGACCAAATCACCATAGCTGGAGATTTGAATGCCCCATCACTGAACCTTGGCTCAGGGTATGCTAAGGGAAAATTTGGCCGAAACCTGCTTCAATCTATTCGAAACACGGGACTGACTGAGACAGTTGGAGACGACACTAGGTGGGGCCCTAGCAGAGTCATCGAAACTAGACTACATTCTAACTAATGACCATCTACTCGTCGAAAAGGTCCAGATCATGACTACTTTAGGAAGTAGTGACCAGGCAGTCATAGGTTTTAATCTCGTTCTCCGTGAGCGTTTGCAGTGGAATGTTACGCGACCATGTCTGTGTTACAGCGAGGCTGACTATGCTGAAATGCGGAGGCTCTTGTCCGACGCAGACTGGCACTTAGAATGAGATGACCTATCTGTGGATGAACACTGGGAAATGGTAGAAAGGATTATTCATATAGCGATCTCGGATACCGACCCTTTAGTCACAACACAGCCCCAAAGAAAGTCATCATGATTGAAGAAAGGCACGCAACGTACTCTGCAAGCAAAGTAGTAGGCTTGGTTTACGTGGCAAGTATCCAAGAGTCAGAATGACCACGATGCATACCTAGGACTCAAGAACCGGTGCAATGCAAGAGTCGGGAGGGACAGGAGGTCATCCCAGGCTAACCTTGCCAAAAAGCTCCTAGCGAACCCCAAAAACTTGCACCGATTCACGTTGGAAAGAAAACCAACCAACCAGAGGCATGCACCTTAGTAGGCCCAAACGGTCAGTATCTCACTAGTCTGGAGATGGCGGAAACATTCAGTTTAGCCTTCACCAAACAGCTAAACAGTAATGTGGGTATAATGTTTAGAACCAAAATGGTGGCACTACTATTTCCCAGGTGGAAGACCTAGTGGCTACTCCCCAAATAAACCCGGCAATAGTACTAGGGAAGCCACGGAGACTCACCTCTGGACAGTCCCCAGATTGTGACGACATCAGGCCATTTGTTCTGGAACAGTGCGCCGAAGCTCTCCGTAGGCTCCTAGGCAACTTGTTCCAACACTCAGTGGATTCGAGGAAACTGTCAAGGGAGTGGAAAAGATCCATCCTTTCTCCGGTCTTTAAGGGTGGTGATAAGCAAAATGCCAGTAGTTATAGACCAGTAGTGCTACTCCCACTGGTATCAAAAGTACTGGAAAGTATTACTGACGATCACATCAGGGAATACCTCGATAGGTATAACATACTCCATGAAGCCCAATACGGTTTTAGAAAAGGCAGATCCTGTGTTGCTAACCTACTATCAGCTCGGGAAAATTGGACATCATACTGGGATATGAATGTTCCAGCCCATGTGGTCTTCCTAGACTTTGAGAAGGCATTTACCACTGTTAACCATGACCTCCTGCACAAAATAAGCCAGGCAGGTATAGGTAAGCCGCTGCTGTTATGGTTGAAGGACTACCTAGCTGAAAGGAAATTTTGCACTAAGGTCAATCGAGTCCGATCATCTTGGCACGACTCGTCATCAGGAGTATCGCAGGGTTCTATCCTAGGACCACTGATGTTTTTGATTTTCATCAATGACCTACCATACCGTCCAAGCTGCCCGACTCTTCTATACGCTGACGACGTAAAGATATGGAGGGCAATGAAGTGTTCGGAAGACTCAGACAGGCTGCAGGAAGATCTATACATTCTGGAAGACTGGGTGGTGGCCAATGGCATGACTTTCAAACTCAAAATGTACGAAGAAGTGAAATTACGCACCTGTAGACTGCAAAATGCAAGTTACACCCTGTGCAATGAAAGCTCGTCCTGCACAACGTCGGAGAGTGACTTAGGTCTAGTTCTAACGGAAAAAATGAACACAAGCGTAAATTACATGGGGGACTTAGCGAGGGCATATGCAGTCATACACTTTACACATAGACAGTTAGGTGCACTCAGTCCTGAGCTCTTTCTAAGGTTGTACAAAACATATGTCAGGCCACACCTTGATTTGCACAACATCATTCCACCCCCACCACTTAGAAGAGACGCCAACCTCTTGGGAAGAGTCCAAAGACGGGCAACAAAAGGAATGGTTGATCTTTTAAATAAACCGTGTGATGAAAAGCTAAAGAAAATAGGCCTATTCACACTTAGCTACCGTCGGCTTAGGGTGGATTTGATTACTGCTTACAAAATAACAAATGACCAGAATCACCCAAACAAAGGTGTTCTGCCTTTGGGTAGGTATAGGCTTCCTCGCGGAAATCCCAGAAGGATAGCTCACCAGAGGGAAAGGACCTGGGTGCACTCCCACTTCTTTTCACTGCAGGTTTGCCGTCCCTGGAATTCCTCACCGTCAGATGTAGCTATGGCACTGTCTGTGGACGCTTTTAAGCGAAGGCTGGACAACCATGCGGCGACTCAGGGACTGCATCCAGACGGCCTATCCCCTTGAAATCGCATACACCATTCAGGGGTAGACAATTAAACTTGTCGTTTTACTTCTTCACATTCTCTCCCGTCTTACTCTCCTGACAACTTTAACTATACTGATTATTATTATCATTGTAACCGATATATATATTATTCATATTATTCTTCAAATTTAATCAGCTGACTGTTGTTACGTTTTCTTATATCTTTTTCTGTCTGTTCGTCTGAACAACTTCACTAATTATATCTATTATTGTTATCTCTTTTCTTTTGACAGTACTTACAGTCCTAACACACCTCATACAACAAACCACATATAATTAATCCCAGCACTACTCCTTTTGCAGCCGACCAAAGCTACGACAGTCGAGTGGCGGGATGAGCTACGCAGAAGTTTACCGAAGATCAGGGACCTATACCTTACAATCAAGAGGCGAGCACAAAGAAATCAAATTGGTTTACACTAGCTCGTAAAAACGATATTGGATGTTGGAACAACCAGACGTAACACCATGGCGTACCAAACAGTTTGGATGTTTGACCGCCAGCCTTCAGCCAAACAAATCGAATTAAACAGTGAGGGTTAGCATCCAATTTTGGGTGATGAATACTGTAAACTGATAATTTTGGGGAATTTTCACTGCTACAGATGTATTGGAAGGTAGTGGTGGCAATTCAATGGTTGCGTTGCACAATTTGAAGACGACTTTTATAATTTTTTTCTTGACACTTATTAGTATAGATTTACTACCATGCACCAAGACTACGGAGCATATCTACAGTTATATTCCTTCATTTCTTACATCATATTGCACACGGAAGTTAAATCTCACTTCACAGGTTGGATGTTCTAGTGATATCGAGGGAAATTCTGGAGTTGTGTATTTCATGAATGAATCATCGGATATTTCCAATATCAATAATTCTGACACAAAGACATCTTTTATAATTGTTTTGGACATTAAGCATTTTATAAACTCTACATTGATGCTGTATTTGCGTTCAATACAAAACATAAACGGACTTGTCGTTTTTTCCAACAATGACGACAACTTTGAAAATAATGCTTTTTCGGAATCCACGAAATGCCCAAATAGCCAGTATAGTGCATACCCATGGGATAAGCAATGCAATATTGGTCCAGACTGGAACCCAGCGGGATCAGGATATGCAGATATTGACTGGCCTTTCCCTGTCGTTTATGTCGCTGATGTCAATAGCACTATTAAGGTATTTAAAGATTCACTCATCAGTTCTTTAGAATGCAATTCATGAATGTTATTCCAAATTCAACCTAGCACCTTCCGATGATACAAGATGCTCAATTGAAATAAGTAATGCTATGTCAGCCGTGGGATCATCTGAAACTTGCTTTCGCCGTCAGTATCTGATGTCGCTTCACATTTCAGAGGTATGCAATTTTTTCCAGTGTAATGAAAATTGATGCCTGCTGAAGCTAACCAATCTGAAAACATTAAGAACCTTCTAAACTGAATTATGAACTTAGCTTGTGTACGTTGTGAGTGCATACAGAGTTGTCGTCCTTTGTTTAAAGAGTGGATGCTTTAATGTGTACTGGTTGTTATCGTCAGCAAGATATCAACAATATATTTAGTATGCTCGTCACTGACCTAAATATCAAACATAGTTTGATTAAGGAGCGGCTATCAGTCTTCCAAAAAATAGCTAACAAATAATGGTAATGATTGCATAACTTCAAAAAGCGAGGACAGAAATTAAGTCTCCGTTAAATCCTTTCAGCATATCAGTTGTTAATCCATTCAATCACATCACGATCTTTCCATACGTTAATTAAATGTACGTCGTTTTCAAACATTAGAGATGTCAGAAGTTCGGATTTTTGTTCAGGGCGTTCAGTACTATTATTAAGCAGAATTAGATACATACGGCAAACCACCCAGCACTCATTATGATAGCGTGTCAATTCCAATAAAAAACGAAGTTTATCACCGCACTTATGATAAATTGAGGTAAGAATTGCCTCACTGAGTATTATTTAGAAGCTATTTCACGGCTGTTTGTAGAAGAACATTTCCTCTCACTTCCTTAACACCCATAAATCGATACTACGACCTATAAAGTTGAATTTCACTTTCAGATCAAGAAATATGGAACGTGCTGGAGATTTGTATGTCTTTTCTCCAAAACGGCTAATGCATCCCCGTCTGAGTATGAAACTGGCTAGACCCACATGAGTGTATTTCTCCAAGAATTTACTTCGTCTTCATAGGACTGCAAACTTGAAAATACTAAACAATAAATTATTTTAGTTGACTTGCTTTTGGTTGCCACAAATATTTGATTTACGTTCATTAACTCGACTGATCTACGATATATGCTAGTTTGATATAAATGTCAAGGATTTCCATACACTTACCTCAGGTGTTCTAGTCGTCACTTCTTTATTACATAACATTTATAGGGCCAAATCATCCTGTTGTTCCGCTCATTTTAAATCAAGAAGCTATCATAACCGCTTTTGGAGTTAGAAAATTAGTGCTTATGTCAAACTTAGACTGCATTTAGTTTGTCGGCTACTGCAACTAAGTCATCCGTTTTAGAGCTGCTCCTCGAGGTGGTCTGCTCAATGGTCTGGCAGCCTTTCTCAGAGATTTAGTAGAGCTTCATGTTTCTTGGAGATTACTCCGGCTACTGTAACTTTCTTAAGTCCTGTCTCTTTGAAAAGGTTGGGTGAAGGGTCTTAATTTATGGTAGTGCCTTCTCTACTTCCTTCACATCAGTTACCTACCGTTTTGCACGAAGTTTACGAAGACTTTCACATTCTAACACCCGATTATTTCTATATCTAATCACCTTTAAAATGAGACACTTGGTACCAATCACTTCAAATGGGACTGCAAAAATCTACTATGTCTTGCCAACTTTCGACTGAGTCGACATAGTGGCAAGTTTCTACACGATTAATACTTTTGTCAGTGCTTAGGTAAATGCTTATCTAACTTTTTCAAAATGCAGATCTCGGGTTTTTATTAATAAGCCATCCCTATATTCTGACATGAATATTCTGGTATTATCTATTTGGTTATTGGGTTGTTAAACAGTGCATTTTAAACTGACCTACTGGAACTTATTGAATCAGTATTGTTCAGCATGTAATAATTTCTTGACCCAGTATTGCTACATATTTGACGTGTTTTTCGAAATATATTACAGGCAACAGAGATTTTCTGTGATGAGCTTACGGGGCTTAACATTATTCTTGCAGCGACTAATTCTACCAACTACTTAAACCATACTGGGATAAATCTGAATACTACAAGTCGGCGTGAAAATTCCACTCTTTTTGTACTATCTCGAATGGACTCTCGCAGCATGTTTGAACGCAGTGGATTTTCAAGTCAAGGTGTTCTCCCAAGTATAGCTGTCTTAATTTCAGTAGCTGCGCATTTGATGGGACAGAACCTAAAAGTTAGTACTCACTTTCGATTTACTAACAGTTTTAATTGATTTGTTTCTCACTAAAGAAAAAATCCCCATTTAGACATTTAGAAAACAGAAAGATTGAGCGAAGAAATATTTACTTTTCAATTAGATCCTCATCTTTGGCTCTACTCTAATATATATAGCATTTTAATTACAATACAACAGTTTGTCAATCAAGTGGTGATAAGTTTGTTAACAATAATTAAAGAGTCAATGGGTTAATAGTTAACGAAGAAAATCAATACAGATTTAAAAGGTGGAAATGGATAGAATAAATTAATTTTACAAGAATAACACGTAGATTAAAGATGAAGTGGTCAAAATAAATAAAATAAATAATTCAGACAAATATAATTTTATAGGTTTAGGGGCAGGGGGGTGACGCAGTCCTGTTTATCCATTCTTGTGACGATGGCCATGGTAGGGAAAGTGGCTGTACAAATTTTTTCTGTACACATAGGCTTGGCTTCTTCAGGTGAATGCCAATCGCCTCAGCCGTCTGTAGAAGACGAACTCGCAGAGCAAAATTAAGATAAGTCGGAATGCGATAAATAATTGTAAATGCTGTATTAACATCAATCTTATGCTCAGTATCAACGAGGTGGGCTAAAATAGAACTACGAATAGATCTTTTTTGTCCCTTACTTAACCACGTTGGATGATGTTCGGAAATACGACGATGAACTTGCCTAATTGTACGCCCAATGTAGCTGGCTCCGCAGCTGCAGTCAAACTGGTAGATACACATAGAAGAGGCGAATTTAGGTAGTTTATCCTTATTTCTCGAACATAAAATAGGTGTGGTTGTAAAGAGACAACGTACCTCTGCTGCATAATAAGTTTTTTTAACTGCATTCTTCAGGCGCTGTGTTATTAATTCGCTGATGTTGTCACCGAGGAACTGCAATTTTATGAACATTGGTTTTTTCGGGACTGTGGCCATACTGACTCTCCTTGGAGCTGAATTTATATTTTTCTCAATGAATTTATCTGGATAGCCATTTTTTCTAAGTAATTCTCTAATAATCATAAGCTCCTCATTGAGGCAGTCGTCTGAACAGATAAACCTAGCTCTATGAGCCAGACACTTCACGAGGTTACGTTTATATTTCAAAGGTACAAAACTCTATGGTAAAGTTTATTGCTGAATGTGCATCATTAAACTTGTCCAGGATGTTCATTGCATCATTCTCATCTTTCATAACCACAAATGTATCATCCATATATCTACAGTAGAAATACATGTCATTAATTACTACTTTCAGTGGTCCATTCTCTAATTTAGCGAGGAAAAAATCAGCTAGGATTGGACCTAATGGGGAACCCATAGCCACACCATCAATTTGTCTGTAATATTCCTTATTGAATAAGAAATGAACATTCATTGTTTTTGTGTCTGATGTAGTAAAACACGGAAAAACGAACTAATTCATGTTAATTTATGCATTATTGTATTTATCTTTCTATGTACACTGACTTGTGTCTTAAAGCTTGTATTTCGCGCGAATAAAACGTAATACTGATGGCCCTATCTTAGTAAACAAACTCTGGGAGTTTCTCAGAGCAAAATCAGTCTTGCGCAACAACCACTTGTAATTCCATACAGTTGGCAATGAGCCCTACCTGTTGTGTAAAGGTTGGTTATACTGCCCGGGGCTTCCCAGATTTCGGTACGTGGAGCGGGCATGGAATCCTTGACGCGCTATGTCATATAAGCTATTTTCACTCGTTTAGTATGTATTTATATTTTAAGTCGGGACCGAATTCATATGAATGTACCTGCATTTATTTATTTTTATTTATTCGAAACTGATTGCTATTGCATTGTTCAACTTTAGTTTCAGTCTTCACATGCTTACCCCTATTATTATTTACAGTAAACTGTGTTGTGCGGTTATTGATTTGAATTATTTTAATTTCAAAATTCCGCGTTCATTAATCTGTTCTTAGGCAATAACCTTACAAGTGATTTACCGTAGTTACTGAAGCTTAGTTGGCAAATCAGGTATAATTGTCCTTTACCAACCCAATCGTATTGTGCAGTTGAAATAAATAGTTGTCGTCATCACACAACAGACTAATTCTTTTTATTTAAAGTTATTGATCCAAATAAATAATATTAAGTTGCCAACTAAATATACACCGCTCATTGTCAATTTATGTTAACTTTTCAATGAAAAGGATTCAGGCTTGGAAAAAGATTTATTCTTTGGGTTTCTTGACAATGAAGCATATGATTTTATGGGATCATACAGACTTTCATATGATTTGATTGACGGAAATATTGCTCGTTATACTGACAGTCCTGTAATGTGGAATAGTCTTTATGGTGTCATAGAGTTGGGTGAAATTGGACTATCTCAATATCAGAACGGTACTCCTACAATTTACATGTTGACGGATGCTCAAACTTGCAACCAGGTAGGTTTTTTTAGTTTTGTCTACTGTCTGTCTGTAGTATTGTAATTGTTCACAATTCCATGTTATGTTTGGCAGTGCATTAATCCTCACTAATACTTTTTGTTTTGGTAACTTTCAGTCCAGGAATATGTAGAAAATTTAAACTAAAGGACAATATCACTAATTAAGTTAGAATATGATAAATAGCTTAATCCCCTACCTGGGATATGAAAAGCAAATGAATCTAATTTGGACAAGAGAACGGCAATATCATAGTTCTTAACACAACTACTTAGCTTAGTGTACTCTACGCCAGCTCAATGAGATGAAATAACAGCAGAAACAAAGAAAAAATGGGTACAAGTTATCATATCAACTTACTTACTTACTTTACTTTACTTCGGCTATCTCCTACGGGAAAATGAGCCGGCTTCATGAACGTCTCGAACCATCGCTGCCCGGCGCGGCGGTCTGACGCAAGGTTTTGCGACAGGGTTATCCAATTCTTGTTCCACAGACGGAGTTCGTAGACGGTTTGTAGCCCCAGGCACTCCATATCAGCCTTGACTGTACTAAGCCATGTTTTCAGCTGTCCACCCCTGCGACATCGCCAAGATGGAAATGACGAGGGATTTAGAACTGATTTGACCAGATCGTCATCTGGTCGGCACAGAACATGGCCAAACCACCGAAGGCGACGTTGTTGGACCAGTACTGGAATTTGGTTGATGTTGTAGAGAGTTCACGAAGTTTCATGGGAATTAGGTACGAGTGATGTCCCCAGCATCGCTCGGCCTTTTGTTTGAGAGTGCAGCTCTAGCCTTTACACAACCAAGTGTGACCTACAAGGCAGTAGGAGTGGAGTAGGGAGTCCACTATCCATTGGCAGCCGGTGACTGGAGTCCGGTTCATACGCCTTTTTGAATGGGGCCAGACATCCAGGGCATCCAATAAGCCCTTTGTCCGTACGTCTGCCGGTGAACTCCGGTGAGCTTCATACGCCAGTCGTTGGAGGTTTGGAATCAGGGTTTAGCCATCTCCCCTAGACTGTCATCTAATGGACAGTCAACCCGGTGAAGAGCGCCGGGCATCTGCTTTTGCCTTCTCACTTCGGTGAAAAGTACCTGCGCCACGTGAAGGCAGTGAGTAGGACTTCCTCAGGAGAGGCTGTGTAAGACGCCCGGTCATATGGGAGCATTTCAAGAGGTGTACGGAGGGGTGGCCAACCGCAGCGCAAGGCACCCACCCCCGACCATCCTGAGGCTTTGGAGGTTATCATATCAACAGTCTATATTCGGCCGACCTCCTTAGGCTAGATGTAAAGTGGACGCTGCCACATTAGGTACCATTTCAGTTCGTACTCCAAAAATTTTATTTTGTATGAAGAAATATTGAGTGAAATGAAGTGATTATTATTATCATTAACATTAGTCACTGATGTTAATCACTGCCTGCAAGCATATTAAAAATTCGGTGTCACTTTTCATGTGAAATTTTTATTCGTCTCTGTCTTTAACAGTCTCCCTATAATAGTGGTTTTCAGTGTAGAAGGGGAATATATCATAACATAACATAACATAAGCTTTATTCCAAATCAGTACTTGTGATACAGAATGGAATTCTCAGCATTTTACTACAATATTGCATCCAGTTTTTTACATTAACAATAAACAAAGTTCTACATAGTTTAATATATATATATATATATATATATATATATATATATATATATATATATATATATATATATATAATATAGTTTAATATATCTTGATTACCTGGTGTATTAACAGTTTACTCGTTTTACGACTCGATCGATATATTTACCAAGGTTTTAGGTAGTGCTTCTCTTCAAATATTTTGGATAAGTTTGCGGAGTAAGATTTCAACAAACGGAATATTTTATATTGAAACTAATATGACTAGTATTTCAATTTGTAAGAAAGGCTATTCGACTACCTTGTATTCTACTAGTAAATAAGTGTTTCATATTGCCTAGTGTAGAAGTAGAATTTGAAATTTATAGTAGAATTTCTTATTAGATAAGTTTATTTGATATAACACAGTGATACAGTATTGATAAATGTATGACGTTCCCAGCACAACATTTTACTCATAATTATATCAGTGTATTTATACGGCTTCCTAACTTGCTTTATATGTTGGGTTCAAGCACAACATTGCACTAACACCGAGGCATCGATAAACTTCAAGGAAGAACTTACTAAAGCTACAAATGTTACCTCTAAAAAGTTTTAAGAACTACAAAAGCACAGTAATCTCCAAATTAGACAAGGTTGATTCAACAATAGTCATGGATAAATCAGATTATATCAAGATCAATGAATATATACTCAAAGGAGTCCGTATGAAAAAATTAAGAAACCTGTAGACATAGTTATAAATATGATTAGAAAATCTATAGCCGATCTAAAACGCCAGACGAAGTCATCTCTCACTGAGTCGAAATAGTCTAGCTTAAAGCTTAAAATTATTACCAGTGTAATATTCGGTACTGTCAAGGCTCGTGAAGCAGAGTAGAGCAGTTAGATCAATAATTGTTTTATAAATATTTGACATAGAATACAATCAGAAACCGCCTAAATTCTACACCAAGTAGTCTTCATCAAATGAAACACATTTGAGGACATTCTAATAGAAAAGGATGAAAAAAAAATCGCTAGTTTTGACGTGGCCAAGTTATACGCAGAAATTACAACAAATCCAGTTGTGGAAGCAGTCAGAAACGAACCTAATACCGATCTTGAATTCACACAGAATTAACTTACCACTTGATGAAGTAATACTGGTTATTCAGTTATGCCTGATTTCTATAGTCTTTAGATTTCAAGATAAAGTACACAAACACAAATAAGATAGCAACGAGATCACCAATATTCCCCACTAACAGCAAGCTATAATTGTGAGTGGTTGGCAACATAATGCTGTTGCGTTGTTTAATATCACTCCTAAGGTATGGTGGAGATACATGGACTAAACATTTAGTTGTTGAAATCTGAACACACTCCTAATTTCACCTCACATATAAACTCAGTAGTTGATGCTACTCAGTTCACCTCCTAGTTACAAAGTCGACTGGACAGATTACCTATGCTGGATTGTAAAATTGAACGAAAACCACATGAGGTTTTAGATACTCGCCCTTATAGAAAGGTCCATCACATTCCAATAGATACTTAGACTCTGGATCATCCCGCTCCCAACCAGTGAAGGTGGGTACAATCAAATGTTCACACAACCGAACCAGGACTGTGACGAGTCCGAAAATTCAAATTAAGAAATCAAGAAGGTAAGGAAACATTACTATTGTTTATCTACCCATACGAATTCCTTCAAAGGTATATCAATACCAATAGGAAAAATAGGCGTAGTAACGTAAATAGTAAAAATAATGTGGGTAAGAAGGAATTCAAAGCTTCGACAGTACTACCGTATAAGGAAGAAATATCAGAAACCTTAACCCTAGGTAGGATTCTTAATAAGGCTGGAATTAGGTTGGTATTTAAACCAACCAACTCTCTCGGAGATAAAATTTGTCGGTTTAAGTAACCAATAGATCCAATTAAGAAAAATAATATAATTTACCAAACAACATGTAATGATTGTGACATCAATTACATAGGTTAAACCAATAGATTTGGGTGATTTACATCATCCGGACATAGAAATCTAGCTAGAGCATGATTTGCTCTGATAAGTTAATTAATGTAGAAAAAGAAAGTAGCTCATTACAGTGAGATCAATTGCATGTATGCATACAATAGGGTGGGAAAATCTAAAAGTATTAGAAAGCAATTTAGACAGGTGGAGAGAAAGGCTGATCACTGAATCTTTGTTCATCGAATCGACACCAAACACGTGCAATCGGAGCGTCGCAGAATTTATCCCTGACTTGAAATTGTAATGAAAAACGCAAGAGATTAAGGCCACATAGAGAAAGTTAGAAGGTCGTGTTAATACACTGGTATGATTATTAGTTATAAGTTGTGCCTGAAACGTTATTTAGTTATGAATACTTGTTGACCTCTATATTTAATCATCAAATTAAATGATTGAGGTATCGAAAATAGTGAGTATGTAGTGATTACAGTGTTACAAAAATGATTATAGTATTAAAAGGTCACTTTTCATGTGTTTACCGTTTTCAATTTACTAACTCGTAGTGTGGAAAATTATTTATGGTTATTACGATATGTATTTGAATTTACAAATGGTAGTCCAGTGGATTTTAACAGAAGTGTCTAAGAACAATTAAGTGGGGTTTGGGTTTTTATGTAAACCATCTCCCAACCCTAGTCACGTGACCAGCGTACTGTATATGGGAACTCAGCTAGTTAGCAATATTCGTGCATATTATAGTAGAAATGTCAACAGAAAGTAGGGTAGCACTTTTCATTCGTAACAATTGGCGATTTCCTGATCATTTTCAAGTGGAATAATTGTTAAGTGGTTTAGAGAATTAAGCAGTAGACAGGGGGTGGTGATTTCAATGTTATTTTTGTATGTAGACTGCTTTTTATTCAAAATATAGCAACTTGTCAGTGTTAAACTGTATAATCTCTCAAAATAACTCCGTTTAATATTTAGACGCAAAACGTTACAAATTTTTTCCTAAATCATCTGACTGCTGCAAGTACGACAGGTGGGAAAGTTAACCTAGAGCGGCCTTCAGATGTATTACAGGAGCTACCTCTACCTCCTACGGCGTCAATGCAAGCCCTTCTCAAAACTTCTCCATATCCACTCCCCCATGTTCTCTTGAGTGATCATGCTGGCCCACCGATTATGAACAAACATTTCGAAAGCTTTCTTGACATATCATGGCCTCCAATGGATAATCCTGCTGCCGACTCAACTCTTTTGGATTTCGCCAACACCTTAGCAGATGCTTTATATAGAGTAAGTTTGTAGGTGGTTTTTTGACATTTCTGTTTCATCAAATGCTTCAGAATTCGTCGGATTTCTTTAATGGGATTTAACTTAATAATGGTTAACGTCTACAAAACGTGCACAAAATTTACAAATGAGTAATATACTGCCTAAATCGAAACCCGTGTTTCAAACATCTGCGAAACTTCATTGTAACACAGGAATACCGTGTCAAAGTTTTAGATATTTTCGATATCAGTGTGTGTGTGTGTGTGAAAAAGAGTAGAAACTCGCTAAATTTATTTACAATAAACAAGGCGTCATACTTATTAGAGATTACTGAAAAAACTGAGTAATAGTGCGTTACGATAATTGAAAAATTCTCATTTAGACATTTAGAAAACAACAAACTGAGTGAATAAATATAATCCCTTCAGATAAATTCCTCACCAGTGATTCTAAAATAATAAACATGCTTTTAGACAATGCATCAAAGTTATACCATTCGAATGGTGGTATGTTAGCTAGCAAGTGAATTCATGACGGTATAAACCACTGATCGTTATGACTAGCCGGGAACCATCCATGTCAGTCAGTGGTGCTTGCTTGTGTTCTAAACACATTTTGTTTGCTATCTCGGTAGCCACTTAAGATATCAAGCAACTAAGATTTTGTGATCTGAATATTTTCAGTTTCCAACAAAATCCTTGGTTAATTTTCACCTCGGACTGCATAATTCCCAAATGTCAAGTTTAATTCTAGCAAGTTTATCTTTACTCGAATTGGATTATAGTGGTGATTCTGCATTAACAAGAAGATGGGAATTCAGATAGTCAGTTTGTTTAAAAAACGAATAATATTGTCGGCTCAGATTACTCCTTAAACGAACTCAGACACGTTAATAATGAAAGTCCAGTAAATCGTCGTCAAATAGACAGTAATGATCAACAGAATTAGAATAGTGCATTGAATTATCGTATGTAGTTGTACAATGTATTAGAAGACAGATAAACACATATGACCCATTGACTCAAGTAGACACTGACTGTCTGATCGTATAGATCATTCACAATTTACAGTAAGAGATTAATCCCATGGTATGGAAGGGAGTTAGCTCTGAAAAACGTGCGTTGAAGGTGGTGTAAATCTGCTCCCTAGAGAGAGACTTTTCGACGATATCGTCTTACTGTGCAATAGCATGCAGCCTATCCAAATCGCACTTAATCAGTTGGTGATCAGTTTCTGTAAGTATGTCATGTGCTTTGCACCGTCTAAAGTACAAGGTATTGTTACAAGATTGGCATGAGCCTGTACCTGCACTCACTCTTGCAGGTGAACTGCTTAGAGTTGGAGATAAGTTTGTATATATGGGTAGTTCGACACAGATTAAGCCAATAAAGGACGACAATGGAAAGTCAATCACCAAAGAGGTGGAACAGAGAAAGCACTGGGTTGAACACTTCAAAAGACTTCTAAATCGTCCGCCACCTACAACACGTCCAGCAATACCAACAACGGAAGCAGAACTACCAGTGAACACTGACCCCCCGACGAAATCGGAAGTCCTGAATGCAATCAAGATGCTTAAAACTGGGAAAACACCGGGACCAGATGGAATCCCAGCAGAGGCTTTGAAAATAGACCCAGAGACAACAGCGGACTTGATGACACCACTACTGGAGAAGGTGTGGAAAGAGGGCAAAGTACCCGAGGATTGGAAGAACAGTTACTTATTCAAACTTCCAAAGAAAGGAGACTTAAGTCAATGTAAAAACTGGCGGGGAATTATGCTTCTGTCCATTCCAAGCAAGATACTAAGTCGCATCATCCTGGAGAGAATCAAACAAGCCCTAGATGAAAAACTTCGTCCGGAACAGGCTGGATTCAGGAGAAACAAATCATGTATTGATCAAATCGCCACTCTACGGATCATCATTGAACAAAGCTTGGAATGGCAGTCACCTCTCTATCTCAACTTCATCGACTTTGAAAAGGCCTTCGACAGCGTCGATCGAGAGGTCATTTGGAAACTACTTCGCTACTACGGGGTCCCATCGACAATTATACACCTCATCCAACAGTTATACGACAATGCTGCATGCCAAGTAATCCACAACGGGAAACTTACGGAAGCCTTCGAAGTGAGGACGGGAGTGAGGCAAGGCTGTCTACTATCACCAATGATCTTCCTGATTGCAATCGATTGGATAATGCGACAGACAACGGCAACCAACGAGGGAACAGGCATAAAATGGACTGACACAAAAGACTTGGAGGATCTGGATTTCGCCGATGATATATGTCTGATTTCCCATAAACTGGAAGATATGCAAATGAAAAGTAACAAGTTGGCAGAAGAAGCATCAAAGATAGGACTTCACGTGAACATAGATAAAACAGAGATGATGAAGATTCCTTGCCAACATCAACAGCAACAACAGACCACAATAAGCATAAATGGGAAGAACCTGAAAGAAACAACCTCCTTCACCTACCTGGGAAGCATCGTCTCAACTACAGGCGGAACTGACGAGGACATCAAAGCCAGAATCGGAAAAGCAAGACAAGCTTTCATTACTCTCAAATCTGTGTGGAGGTCAACAGCATTCAGCATCAAAAATAAGATCCGGATTTTCAACTCCAATGTGAAGTCAGTGCTACTATACGGATCAGAGACTTGGCGAGTCATAAAGAGCATCTCAAACAAACTTCAAACCTTCATTAACAACTGTCTCCGCTCAATACTCAAGATCAGATGGCCAGAAAAGATCAGCAACAGGGATCTCTGGGAGCGAACCAATCAGGAACCGATTGTGAAACAAATAGGCAGAAAGAAATGGAGATGGATTGGCCATACGCTGAGGAAACCAACAAGTGACATCACTAGACAAGCCCTCGAGTGGAACCCGAAAGGGAGGCGGCGAGTTGGTCGTCCAAGGGTGACTTGGAGGAGGTCATGTGAAGAGGAGATGAAAGCATGTGGGCAGACCTGGAGCAGGGTGAAAAAGTTGTCAAAAAACCGAAGTCAATGGAGGTGCGCAGCTGAAGCCCTATGTTCCTCTAGGAACTAAAGGATACAATATATATATATATGGGTAGTTGTGTGAGTGCTGGCGGATGAGATTTCCAACAGTATCATGAAAGCTACGGTGGCATATGTTAATTTGAGACACCATTGGCACCGTCGCAACGTTAGCCTGGCTATCGCAGGTTGGGTATACAATGCTTCGATTTGAGCTGTCTTGCTATACGCCTGTAGAAACTGGTCTCTCCGAGCTGAAGATGTGTGGCGACTCTGCGTATTCTACCACCGCTGTCTCCCCAGGATCTCTTGCGTTCGATGGCATCATCGCGTAATTCCGAGGTCTGGCAGCGTCTGTTTGGACACAGTGGGAATCACCATTCTTTGAGTGCTGTCATCTGGAAACACCGGTTTCGGCGGCTTGGAAATGTGCTGTGAATGTCATCCCAGAGGCTTCCGTACAGGTGTCTGTTTGTTAGCCTTGGAACGGGATGGAAATAGCGGAGAGGTGGTCAGCCCATGATGTGGCGTTGTGGGATGAAGGATATTTGTGTCAGGTTACCCTCCGTTGATGCGTCACGACTCCCTAGTTGAATTCCAAGGGATAGCTCGAATCGGTGGCTCGAAACGTTATCGAATATGGCCGAGAGTCGTAATCAATGGCGAACGTGGTGCAATTTCCTTCCTTCTTCCCTTCACGACGATAATTGTCGAATGGTGTTTGAACTTTTTAAATATGACTGTTTTCCTTCAAGATGAAGTTCTTTATTCGTTCTCTACGTAAATTTTCTCTGTTAATCTATGTTGTTTTATTACTATTGTATGGCTCATCTTTTTGGTGCCATATTGTAACAAGTTTTTTGTTTAAATAAATAATTATCAATAATATGGGATGGATGAAAACTAATTATGTCTCTAGTTAAGGGATAAAATGACCTGATCTAATCATAGTTAATTTGTGGAAGTATCTAACTCAACTGACAGTTTGTTGAGTCAATGAAATTGTCAATTACATAGGAATACTTTAGAAAGAAGGAGTTAGGTAAACCAGTATTAATGGTAGTGTAATGTTAATTAGTATTATATTTTGAATGGTTAGATGTACGGAAGTGCCTTAAGACCTTTAACTTTAATTAATAGTTATTTAACTTTACAAATAACTCATTTACTTGCTTTTGCTTTAGGGATATCAACAGAATGAGGTCACTTTGAATAAAACGTGAATAGAAGCTGTACAGTTCTAAAGTGGTGCACATATAAAGCACAATACATTTTCTTATCTGATAAGTGAGAGCCATTTTCGTCTAATCAATTTGTTTGTCATTCATTAGTTATGTAGATCCAGATGAGGTATTAGTTTGTCTTTGAATAGTATCAGGGTATTTTGGTCAGCGAGAAACTCAGCATTCACAACTACTTACATTTATTCATTAAAAGGCAGTCAATCGGGGTCACAGTCTTAGAGGACAGACTTCCCACACTAAATGTATGTCCTGGGCGTTCCTCATTTTAAATACAATGAAGGTGGTTTGAAGAAATTTCTTAACTTTCCTTGTAGTGAGAATTCAAATAAAAAGTTGTCTCACAAAGCATAATATTCTCATAGATGCACTCAATATTATTTAGTAATCGAATTCCTTAAAAAAGTTTAAGAAGTAAGAATACTTTGACAGTTACCGTCCACCTGTGTGCTACTTGACTGCTTCACGACTCGTGCTTCAGAGAAAAAAAAATGAAATATTCGGGGAGACTTCTTTTCTCTACAACAATTAGCCCTGTTAACGCTAAAGTTTAGGAGGCTTATTGCCGGAGGATGTTGGCATACTCCGTGTTTAGACCCTACAAAGTGTTGTGTTGCTACTTTTTAAGCACAACTGAATACATATCATTATCCCTGACTGAGTTTTTTTTTTCATATATAAGCCATATACCTTCATATAAATAGTGCCACTAGTAACATTTTGAAGGGAAATATTTTTATGACGCTAATTATATTTGTTATTCTAAGAGATGTACATTCACTTGCGTTTGCGTTTAACTTATTAATATGTAAAAGTGGGTTCATATAAATTCTTCCAGGATAATCGAAATGACTGAGAACTCAAATCCACCATTAAATATGAACTGTATGCTTTGATTGGACACTAGTTAGTAAGTAATATCATGTGTGTGTTTAGTCCTATCTTTGGTGCAGACTGAATTCTATCAGTCAAGTTTGCAATGTGACCACCATTCTAGTTGACTTGCCATCATGGCGCACTTGATATGAGATAGTTGGAGGCAGTCAGCAAGAAGCCTTGGACGTAGGTTTCATGCTAGTTGGCACTTGTCACCAAGGCGTATCTGCAACCTCGAATTTAATCTGCACCAAACAAAGGACTAGACACATTACATTAGTTATTAACAAGTGTCCAATAAAAGTATCTAATACAGTCTTACAGAAGGTCAATCGCGAGTCCGAATAACTCAGTGGCAACGTTACTGACTGCAGCATTGAGTGGCGCGGATTCGAATCGCAGAAGTGACATGAGTCCCTCCAAGGTGACTGGTGAGTGCCAACTAGGACGAAACCTAGGTCCAAGGCTTTCAACCATCTAATATGAACTGTATACACAATCATTGTGGATAGATTAATCCCCTTTAGCGTTAAGTCGTTTTACAGTTTTTTTAAAGCGAATAAAGCTAAAATTAGGTAGAAGTTATCTTTAGCATTTCTTTAAAAATTATTTATGTTAATTCTTATTTAACTGTTTAGAGTATTTGTTTCATAATATGCTCAGGCTAATGCTATAGATTATCTCTAATCTTTAAGCACTACAGTCCTTGCTTTCCAATACACCCACAGTCGTCTAACGTAGTACCATTTATATATGCACTCTTCTGTAAATTCGAACAATTGCAACTTAGATTTATGCACTGCTGGCTTTTCTGTCTCTCAAGTCAAACTGCAACCTTTTATTAGTTTAACTTAACACATTTGGAAACAATACTTTATTTATATGTAATTAAAACATATTCTTCTTCCTTTTTCTTTAGATTATTACTTCAAATCATACACCAATGCCTTCCAGCATAACTTATCCGAAGCCTAGTGACATTATGTATTGTTTTACGAAAAACTCGCAGTGTGATCTCTTCAAAAAGGTAATATTGTTTGGGAGAAATATTTGATTCTTCTTTTTTTGTTATTCCTTCATAAAATTAACATTGTCTATATTTATGATAAAAGCACGCATTTACAAGAATTAAAACTTACATGAAATCGTACAGTAATTAGGGCTACCCTTCAGTTGATTTTTATCTGTTCAACTTGTTTGGTCCTTTATTTCTTTCTAAATGCTTAGCACTTTATTTATTGTTACCTTCCGCAGTCTTATCAATTCCGCCATAAGCTAATATTTCTCATTTTCTATTCAACTTCATCATAGATGTGTTAATGGACTTAACCCTAGGTGACTTCAGCGACTCAGGAATTGACTTGCTACCGGGGAATAATCTCGTTGACTTGGAATATGCAGACGATATAGTCCTTCTAGGCGAAGACGCTGACGAAATGCAGAGTCTTCTAAACACCTTGAGCCGCAATCTACGAATGTTTGGCATGCGATTCGCTCCCGCCAAATGCAAGATCATGTTACAGGACTGGACTACATCGCCGCCTAGTTTAAAAATAGGAAGTGAAGTGGTAGAGCACGTTGACCGCTTCACTTATTTGGGAAGTACCATCAGCCCCAACGGGCTGATCTCTGACGAAATCTCAGCACGAATACAAGGGGCTCGTTTCGCATTTGTTAGTTTACGCCGACTCTGGCGTAGACGAGATGTTCGACTATCGACCAATGGGCGGGTGTACTGCTCATCAGTCCGCTCCGTCCTCCTGTATGGTTGTGAGACCTGGCCACTGAGAGTGGAAGACATGAAAAGACTAGCTGTCTTTGATCATAGGTGCCTGCGTTCTATTTCCCGTGTAAAGTGGCATAATAAGGTGAGCAACATGGAGGTTAGGCGTAGAGTTCTAGGTAAACAGGGGAAATCAATCGACGAAGTCGTGAAGCTACATCGACTGAGATGGTTAGGACATGTGTTACGTATGCCAAGCCATCGCCTCCCTCGACGAGCAATGTTAGCGGATATAGGGTCAGACTGGAAAAAAGCTAGCGGCGGTCAAACAAAAACTTGGCATCAGTCAATGAAATCCACAACAGTTCGTCTAAGCCACGTAGAAAGGTGTAGACTTCCAGGCTGGGGTCCTCGGGACGGTAAAAATCTATGGTTGGAAACAATAGGTGACATGGCTCAAAACCGTTCTCAGTGGCGCAGATGCATCCACTCCCTGTGACTTATGATCTTCAATGAAACTGTTTTGTTATTCTTTATTCTCCTTTGTCTCACACCTCTGCTCACTGTTTCTATTATGCTTTTCTTGTACTTTCTTCTCTTGCTTCGCGTGCTACACGGAATGTGGCGACTTGAACTTCCGCACATTTGTGCAAAGTTCTATGTCGAAAACAGACAGACAGACAGATTTCTCATGATAAAAACTACACCCTGCCCCCAACCGTTTAGCGCTTCAGTTATCACAAAAATCAATAATGTACAAAGTACACGTGGAAAACTGTTTAAAAAGCACGCATTGTATAACATCAAAGTAAAAGCTCAGCATAATGACAGAACAGTTGATTGTCTACTTGAAAGTGTAATTAATTTTCCTCTTCTCACATGTGAACTAACTACATAACTGTTTTCAAGAGACTGTTGGTTCACTTCAATATGTTAATATAATAACAGTTTACACAAGCAATTTGAAAAATATATCCAAATAAGGGATGGATATTAGAAGAGAAACAGAGTTTACACATTCTGTAGTAATAAAATCAGCAGAGTTTAACACCAACATCTTTATGTCACTAGAATTTATCGTAGTGTATATACTGGTAGATTAAAATTGCAAATAAGCAGTACAGCGAATGCAAAGGATAAGATCAGAAAGCGTTTTAAAAAAAGCAATACATGAATAAGAAATGAAAATACTCATCGATTTTTAAACTTCCGAGACCGGACTGTGCATTATATAGTTTACTGCTACCTATTATCAGCTAAGTAGCATTAAGAAGTTAGCCTCAAGCTGTGTCATTGAAGCATCTTTAAGCCGAGTCGACATGTTATCAGAAAACAAGTATATAAGTTCAGTAAGAATTAACCAACAGGAGTTAAAAAAAAATCAATGAATAACAAATCTGCTTAAAGTCGAGAGTATATGGATTAGGCGTCCTCCGGCAATCTGTGATACATGGTTTTCTATTCACCCCATTACATTTTCCGTGACAAAATTTTCAGAAAGCGAAAAGATTGAGCGAAGATATTCACGTTTTAATTAGACCCTCATCTCTGGTTTTACTCTAATGTATAAAGCATTTTTATTATAATACACAATTTACCAATCAAGTAGCGATTTTTTTGTTAACAATAATTAATCAGTATCAACATGTCATGGGGGGATAATTAACGAAAATTAACAAACGCAATTAAAGGGTAGAAACAGTTACAACAAGTGGATTGCATAATGCATAACTTTGGAAAAATGAAGAATAATTAAGGCATAAGCGAGTACTCAAGTTGATTACGTAACAGGTCATTAAAGAAAATAAAACGATTTGGAGAATGTTAACTTCTAATTAAAGATGAACTAGTTAGAAAAATAAGAAAATAATTTGGACAATTATAATTTTTAGAGGTTTAGGGGGAGGGTGGACGAAGTAGTCTGGTGTATATACATTCATGTAACGATGCTCAAGGTAAAGAAGGAGGAGATCGGCAGTTTTTAAGCCTTTTATTGTATTTATTACTTATGAATGTGCTTTTGTTGATGATTTCAGTATCTTAGTCCTGAAGATTTCCAGTTCTTAAAAATGTCAAGAACACCAGTATCTGCACAAAGCTACCTACCCCTCGGTCGACATGAAATAAAGGTATCGCATTTGGTCAGTATCTTGTTAATGGGCCTAACTGGTAAGCGAACTTCAAGTCCTACTTGTCCGCCTCCTGAAGAAAGAGGTCCTTTTACATACTGGATGGGATGTAAGTTTTCAACTTTTTTCAACCATCGTACATTTAGTGAGTGTAAAATCCTCTGCAAATAATTCGTAAACAAGACATATCAATAGTACTTTTAGTTTAAACTGCAAGGTTATACTCAATGAAATATTTGCACTCACTGAATTTGTTGGAAAATATATTTAAAGCGTAATACAAACCCTCAATAGTCATTTATTGACTCATAGTTTCTCATTACGCATTTGTCGAATAGAAATGTCATAGTGACTGCCATCATTAACGTTACTAATTGATCTCTGACATGACTTGTTTGCAGTTAGTAGTCGAAGTCATGTCATACCTAAGTTTGATAATCATAAGCCGGGTGTATCAGTAGTCGATGACTCAATCACATTCAGAAATATGGATATGACAAAATGCATTTAGTTTTTTTTTGGGAAAAAAGACGTTCAGAGTCAGCTGTCCATCCTTTCAAATTTAAATTAGCTAATAAAATGTAATCCCTGAATACTTTTCGATCTTCATGAGTTCTAGGTACATCCCCAGGTATTATAATTAAGCAGTAGTTAAATATTTTATTCTTTTTCGTGTTTTGTAGTTAACATTGCTACTCCCTTATCTGACTTTCCTGGGATATTAGTGGTGTGCAGATAAGTAAGTAACACCAATTGTCCGCCTAAGGTTTATCGACAAACATCTAAACCATGCTTTCAAAAACAGCTCTCCACAAAATGCTACATTTTTGTCACCTGGAAATTTTTTATTTGCCCTTCCAGATTTACGAGTCAAAGCTTCCAATACTTTCTATCTTCAAAAATTCACATTTATAGTTATCCACATAAATATGCAGAGTGAAAAGGACAATGATTTACAAATCCTATTCGGATTGTTTCGATCACGTTAGTATAGGCTGAATAGCAATATCGTGAAATAACCGCCCAGCGAAATCACTCTTAGCGCACAGTTCCGGGAATGATGCCAACTCAAACTATTAAGCGTAGTGGCAGATATCTGCAGATAACAATATCAGCTAGTGAATTTGAACTATGACCAGTTGTTGACTGAAATCCTCACTTTCATTTGTCGGACATGTGGTCTGGCCTGTAATAACTTTTCTGAAATATAAAACCCGAAAGCCAATGCGCTGAAGTTTGAACAACAGATTGTCGAATATGATGGTGTATTTAGTAAGGGATTAACAGATTTCACGTGCGAACGAAGTAATTTACAACAATACTTGGATTAAGACGATAAAAATAAGCAAATCTAGTTGAAACTAAGACTGGTCACTGTACTTAGGAATTGACAGAATCCAAAAGGTAGTCAAATCAAAATAAGGAGCCATTTTGTGTTGTCTCTGTCAGCTGTTGCCATATAGAAAATTGTAGTTTCCCTGGTCTCTCAGGGTACTAAGAATCAGTAGAAAAGGACGCCTAGTGATAGTCAAAATTTTTGGCAGCGGTGTATTCCTTCTCTGTAATTATTTGACAACTCGTTTGCACCACTCTCCCTTACATCATTCTCTCTATCTACACACTTGTACATTACACTTTTCTAGTCTCCTATTTTGTATGCTTCTCGAAAATGTAACAACCTAAAGTGAACATATCTGCAAAGAGGTTCTAAGGTGGCTGTCACCAGTTTGCGTGATAAATTACTTCCTGATACTTTGAGACTTCTGTTTTAAAGTCATTTATGTACAAGACCTCCGTCTTAAGGTATATTAACTGTTGATTTCTCAAGCAGGTCAACAACCAAACGGTGATTCGCACGAAATATCTGAAACAGGCTGTAATTTTCTGTGTGTGAAAACAGATATTCTTATTAATGATACCACTTCGTTATCAACTGTACCTTTATTTTGCTTCCTGATTTAACGAAAACAGATTTTAATGGTTCTGAACAATGTTACTTCGCTCAAGTGGACATCATGTCTCGCTTTCTGTTATGGGATGGTGAGAAGTTGGCGAAACCAGCATGGATGCGCAGTCGTGAACATTCTGGCAAATTCATTCGTTGGTTTCGACGGGCGTCTCCACAGGTTGATGGGTTTGGAGTTGCACTGGGTATTTTCCTTATAACGCTAACATCGCTTATGGGCTCTTACATCAGAAAGACAATGAATAGAGCTCTAATACACCCAATCATACAAACTGAACTCCCACATCTTTCAAGAAATAAAAACTGTGTTTGTGCATAAAATCCCCGTAATGTATTTGCTGGTTTTGTACATAAATTTCGAGTTATCAAGTGAACTTTACTTTTTTTGAAGCATGCAAAGCATTTCTTTCTTCAGCTGCTTTCCGAGCCTTTTCGACAAAACCGACCAATTGACCATTTTCTCCTAATAACTTCAGCAGCTCAACTATCAAAGGTAGATAGTTGTGTCTGCGACGAATATTTTCTGCACGCTGAGCTGAAATTTTCTTCTTTTCATTGGCAATATTATTTTTTAAATCTGTTATGTATGCTGACGGTGGCTGTAATAGAAATGTAACAATTTAGTAGGTATTATTTCGTATAAAAATATTTTGCATCACCTCGTCTTCTCATTGGCCTTAAGTTTAGAGGCATAGTAATCACATTGAACAGCTATATCCTCTTACTTTTGAAATCTCTAGTGGAGTTTGCCAACGACCGTATACGAAGCCGAACCCATAAGTTTGTCGTTTAAAGAAAGTAAAAATGTATTCGGATACCACAACACGAATATTCTCATCTAATGCACTTATGTCTGACAAGGTGAAAATAGGGAGCGTCTTAAGTGAAATAGGCATGGTCTCTGCTTTGTTTCAATTACAGTAACCCTCTCCCTAAACTTGTCCCGAATATCCCATCGTATATTCGGGTTGCAAGTAACCACATTTCCCTTAAATTCGCAGTTAACAGTCTGACCTAAAAAAGTTCTGTGGAAATATTAGTGATTCCTGACTCATGAAGAACTTCATGGGAGTCTCTGGGATCATTTGCATAGTGACCTAATTCCTCCGGACAATCGCACTCTGGGCTTGAGTAGTAATAATTTAGCAACCAGTTACAAGTGTACTTAACTGTGTCGACTTGGATAACTAAGTCGCAGTGCGATTAACTTGTATAAATGGTAATTCTGTAGTGTAATACTGTACTGTGTAATAATTCCATACATTCAACAATACTGTTCGGAATTAAATCACTATTGCTACCGAATACTACGTTTTGATATGAAGTTTGAGAAGGACAAACAAGTCACTGGAGATTACTTCACATAGGATCTTTACACAACTAGTCGTCAGCTCTTAGACAGCTTCGAACTGAATGCACTAAATAACATGTTCCCTCAGTCCTCGACTATCAAATGTCGTTTTCACATTGTGTTGAAAGCCGGTATTTCTGTGAACCACGAGGTATCTGATTGTACGTTTGTTAAAATACATCTAGGCCTGAAACCTACTTGGCTTTCTAGGAGTTAACTTGCCGCTATTTGCGGTCGTTGCAAAATCTCTGATTTTGATGTTACATGACAGACCAATTTGTACAGAATTAGAGGTTTATTAAATTAGGACTGCAGAGAGTTAGCTGTCTCATCTGTTTCTACAACATCGGTCCTCCATCCCCAGCTGAAGTTACAAAAGCCATCTTCAATCTGAAACGAGGTAAAGCAGCAGTACTTAATGGAATGAATCCATAGGTGTTTTAGGACAGCAGAGACAATTTACTGACTGGGTTAACTAAAGTATTGCGCAACACCTGGGAATTAGAAAGAGTCCCGTTGGGCTGATGAATGTGACTGATTACCTCTGCATACAAGAAGGGAGAAAGTCTTCCCGTGATTATCACATGGGGATTAGCTTGACTAATATCGTATACAAAATTCTTGATTCACACTAACCATGCGTAGGTTAAGTGGTACTCAAGAGAAACAAACACGAGGAAATCAAACAGACTTCAAAAGAAATTCTGGGATGTAAGCATAATAACCGCCGATCAACAATTGCCATATATCTCTATCAGACAGCGGCGTTCGGTCCCGCCGACCGAGAGGTACTATGGCAGCCTTCGGTCGTGAAGGAAATGTCCAGAAAACACTCTAATCTGACCCATGCAGCCAGTCAAGAGACTACGGAGAGTTTCCATCGGAAGTGGAATCCAGCATGGATGGCCACTGCCCTTCCTGTGAAATTTCATCATAGATGCACAAATAAGCTTGTCTCTGACTTCAATGACTCAGGAATTAACTTGTTACCAGGGTATAATTTCGTTGACTGCTAGGTGAGGACGCCGAAAAAATTGCAGTCTTCTGAACACCTTGAGTAGCAATTTTCAGATGTTTGGCATGTGATTTGCTCCTGTCCAATGTAAGATGCTGCAGCATGGCCGGACTACATCGACTCCTAGCTTAAAGATAGGAAGTGAAGTAGTAGAGCGTGTTGACCACTTCACTTATTAGGGAAGTTGCATCAGCCAATGCTAACGGGATGGTCACTGACGAAATCTCATCACGGATACAGATGGCTTGTTTGGCATTTTTCATCCGAACTGATAGACGCTAGAAGACTTATTCCGGCGAGCTCCGAATTCAATGAGGAGCGAAAGCTGCACAAGAGGAAACTTACGAAAAGTCTCCGCAAGGACCGTGAACAGTGGTGGGCGACAAAAGCCAAAGAGATGGAGAAAGCCTTGAAGATAGGCAACACCAGGCAACTCTTTGGACTCATCAGGGAAACGGGTGGGAGAAGACAAATCATCAGTGAGACAATCTCGGAAAAAAATGGCACTATAATTAGCTCCCAGGATAGACGACTGGATCGTTGGAAAGAACATTATGAGGAGCAGTTTAATTTGCCCACAGCCACGCTCAACCTTCCGAGCATCCAACACCTCCCTGAATGGGATATAGACACAGGTCCTCCGTCACTAACTGAGGTTACTAAAGCTGTCACCAATCTGAAACTAGGCAAAGCAGCGAGACCTGATGGAATGACGCCAGAGGTATTTAAGTACGGTGGAGACAGCTTACTGTCCGGATTAACTGAGGTACTAGGCAGCGTCTGGGAATCAGAAGAAGTCCCATCGGGTTGGTGTAAGTCACTGATTATCCCCATATACAAGAAGGGAGACAAGTCTTCCTGTGATAATCACAGAGGAATTAGCTTGACTAATATAGTATCTAAAGTCTTAGGCTCAATAATCATGCGTAGACTGAGTGATGCTCGGGAAGCACAAACACGAGAGAGCCAGGCAGGCTTTAGACCAGGAAGAGGGTGTATTGATCATATCTTCACCCTCCGACAGATTCTAGAACAGGCATTCCTACCGGCGTCCAACAGTCATTATATTTCTTGACCTAAAGGCAGCATTCGACTCTGTCGATCGGGAAGTTCTCTGGAGATGCTTGGCTGTAAAGGGAATTCCGAGAAAATATATTGCACTGATTAAAGCACTCTATTCGTACTCATATAGCCAGGTGAGGGCTTACGGCGAGCTGTCATCTGAACTGATGACAACTAGTGGTGTCCGTCAAGGATGCCCATTATCTCCTTTTCTATTCAACTTCATCATAGATGTGTTAATGGACTTAACTCTAGGTGACTTCAGCGACTCAGGAATTGACTTGCTACCGGGGAATAATCTCGTTGACTTGGAATATGCAGACGATATAGTCGATATAACTATAAAACTTGGGCACTGTGGTAGAGTATAATTCCATTATAGATAAGATTTTATTTTGATAAATCGCACAGTGTTTACAGTTATATCAGTTCATATAACTGTAAACACTGTGCGATTTATCAAAATAAAATCTTATCTATAATGGAATTAGACGATATAGTCCTTCTAGGCGAAGACGCTGACGAAATGCAGAGTCTTCTAAACACCTTGAGCCGCAATCTACGAATGTTTGGCATGCGATTCGCTCCCGCCAAATGCAAGATGATGTTACAGGACTGGACTACATCGCCGCCTAGTTTAAAAATAGGAAGTGAAGTGGTAGAGCACGTTGACCGCTTCACTTATTTGGGAAGTACCATCAGCCCCAACGGGCTGATCTCTGACGAAATCTCAGCACGAATACAAGGGGCTCGTTTCGCATTTGTTAGTTTACGCCGACTCTGGCGTAGACGAGATGTTCGACTATCGACCAATGGGCGGGTGTACTGCTCATCAGTCCGCTCCGTCCTCCTGTATGGTTGTGAGACCTGGCCACTGAGAGTGGAAGACATGAAAAGACTAGCTGTCTTTGATCATAGGTGCCTGCGTTCTATTTCCCGTGTAAAGTGGCATAATAAGGTGAGCAACATGGAGGTTAGGCGTAGAGTTCTAGGTAAACAGGGGAAATCAATCGACGAAGTCGTGAAGCTACATCGACTGAGATGGTTAGGACATGTGTTACGTATGCCAAGCCATCGCCTCCCTGGACGAGCAATGTTAGCGGATATAGGGTCAGACTGGAAAAAAGCTAGCGGCGGTCAAACAAAAACTTGGCATCAGTCAATGAAATCCACAACAGTTGGTCTAAGCCACGTAGGAAGGTGTAGACTTCCAGGCTGGGGTCCTCAGGACGGTAAAAATCTATGGTTGGAAACAATTGGTGACATGGCTCAAAATCGTTCTCAGTGGCGCAGATGCATCCACTCCCTGTGACTTATGATCTTCAATGAAACTGTTTTGTTATTCTTTATTACTCCTTTGTCTCACACCTCTGCTCACTGTTTCTATTATGCTTTTCTTGTACTTTCTTCTCTTGCTTCGCGTGCTACACGGAATGTGGCGACTTGAACTTCCGCACATTTGTGCAAAGTTCTATGTCGAAAACAGACAGACAGATCTTTGACGTAGAGGTGATTATCTGGCTGTCGACCAAAAGACGTGTGTACTGCTCGGCAGTTCGCTCCGTCCCCCTTCCTCGCTGTGAGGGAGACACGACCATTTAAATTAGAAGATATGAAAAAGGCTGTCTTTGATCATAGGTGCCTGTGTTCTGTTTCCTGTGTGAGGCAGTATAATAGGGTGAGCAATATTGGGGTTAGGCGTCGATTGCTAGGTAAAAAGGGGGAATGAATAGAGGGGGCTGTGAAGTTACATCGACTGAGATGGTTAGGACGTGTTATGCATGCCTAGCCATTGCCTTCCTCGACAGCCAATGTTAGCTGATATAGGGTGGATCAAGTAGGAAAAGAGCTAGTGATGGTCACACCGAAACATGGCATCAGTCAATGAAATTCATAACAGTTTAAAACACGTGGGGCTGTGTATATTTCTACAGTGATTGGGGTCCTTCAGGTGATAATAACTAGTGGATTCAGACTATTGGTGATGTGCCTTAAAATCGTTCCCAATTACTGGCCCAGATGTATTAATTCTTTGTGGTTCATCATATCCAGTGAAACTCTATTGACTTTATGTTACCATGTTTACCTCACACTTCTGTTTGGAGTTTTTATCCCATTCTCTTTGTGTGCTGCATGAAGAACTCAAACTGCCGCACATCTGTGCAAGGCTCTAAGTTGAATCCAATCAGTCACAACACATTAAATATGATGCCATGTAGTTTCCAAAAATACGCACTTCAATGGAACGGTGGTTTGAGAAAAAGTTTTAATCTTGAGTAACATTATATGAATAACAACTGGCGAGGTGAAAATTTGGCCGGTGAAAGGATTCAAATTATTGCTATCGAATCACCAGCTTAGCATTATTTTTTTCCCAAATTGCCTATATTTAGTTGATTGAACCCTCTTATGTCACATGCTATCACAAAATCCAACAGGACACTAGTGCTCAGTAGATTTTCTTATGTTTGAGATATAAACCAACAATAAAAACTGGTTGACTTACATCGTTTGGTTCTCCTTTAACTCGAGCCAACTGACTCTCGTACATTGCTAAACGATTTGGGACAACTGCCATTATATTGAACTTCCCATCCACGCACTTTTCCATGCGTTTCATTAACAGTGGGCGTAGTGTGTCAATCCATGATGAGTTTTCAGGCACTCTCCCATGATCTATCGGACCAGGTTTAAGTCCATCTAGTTCATATAAAGTACCATTTATTGGCAGATAACCGACAAAATGATAGACGTCTTCACTAGACTTCGGTGCTTTCTCGTCAAACTCGAATAACTGGTAACTAGTAAATCGTGAGAGTTAATTAACGCCTTACTTGCTAAAACTGTTATGTACAAGCCTAATTTGATCAGAGTTGCTCATAGCTGCACCTTTCATCTAAAATATCAACTAATAAATATGTAATATCATACCGTACTGTCAAAGTCCGATACGAATGCCTTGAATTGGGCTAAAGTTGGGCCTATGGGGACCTTATCATCGATATTTAACAAAATATTAATTATGGCTTGTGTTGCACACGCATTAGAAATAGTCTAATAAAATTGCAGTTATTGTTGGTAGACCACAAGTTACTTGTTTAGCAAAAAATATGCCTTTGTTGTTTTCATCAAGAATCACTTTCCCCATATCTTCCTGCTTGTCATCGTAACTAAATAGGAAAATAAATCCATATGCATCCGAAACGCTGCTTGTTTCATATAGATCATAGACCTCTTCACACTCCAAACTCTCCACGCCTAGAATATTTTTGGCGAACATTTGGCACTTACCAAAACCCTTGATTAATTCACTAAACACCCCAGGGTCACTTTCAATTAAACACCAATTGTCGTTTGTGGACATATCCTACACTGCGTAGAGAGTGGGAATCCAGTTCATTGAGGCGCGCACTCATCCAATATCCAATACCGTTTTTATCACCCAGTGTAAACCAATTTGATTTCTTTGTACTCGCTCCTGGATTGTGAGATGAAGGTTCCTGGTCTTCGGTAAGCTTCTGCATAGTCCATACCACCACTCGACTGGAGTTGATCCTTTCAACAGTCCTCCGGTGTCGTCGGCAAAAGAAGACATAATAATAATATATATATAATTAGTGTAGGTTATTCAGACTAAATGACAGGGGAAGAAATAAGAAAAACGTTAAAACAGATAGTCGATTAAATTTTAAGTCGATATATACATATTTAAATATATGTATGCATTTTTTTCCTTCACGTTCCCCAGTGGAACATAGGGCTTCAAGCTAGTAGATTAAAGTTTCTATAGCAACGTTTATTTTTACAGGATGGGATTGCTAGCCTCATACTCAACCTTTCCTCTTTACCAGCATTATTTCTGGGTTAGCGAGGTAAAGAAGTGCGTCGGTGGGGGTCGAACTCAGGACCATGTGCATGGTCGGTGAGCGTCCTAACCGCATATGTATGTATACAATATCAAAAATAAGTGTACGTGTATTAGTGGAGATAGTCAGAAGAGAATGTCAAGCAGTAAAACGAAGAATTTAGATGTCTACCCATTATTAGTCCATGTAATTTTATAGGTTTAGGCCGTTTGGACGCAGTCATTGTGTCTCTGCATGATTGTCCATCCTTCGTTTAAATCTACCCACATACAGTGCCATAGCTACATTTGCCGATTAAGGTTTCCGGGGACGGCAAACCCGCAGTGAAGAGAAGTGGGAGCACACCCAGGACCTTGTTATCTGGTGAGCTATCCTTCCGGGATTTCCGTGATTAAGCCTATACCTGGAACACTTTTGTTTGGGTGATTCTGGTCATTTGTTATCTTGTAAGCAGTAATCAAATCCACCCTAAGCCGACGGTAGCTAAGTGTGAATAAACCCTATTTCTTCAGCCTTTCATTACATGGTTTATTTAGGAGACCAACCACTCCTTTTGTCACCTGTCTTTGGATTCTTTCCAAGAAGCTGGCGTCTCTTCTAAGCGGTGAGGGTGGATTGATATTATGCACTTCAAGGTGTGGTCTGACGTATGTTTTGTACAACCTTAGAAAGAGATCAGGACTGAGTGCACCTAACTGTCTATGTGTAAACCGTATGACTGCATATGCCCTCGCTAAGTCCCCCGTGTAATTTACGCTTGTGTTCATTTTTTCCGTTAGAACTAGGCCTAAGTCAATCTCCGACGTTGTGCATGACAAGCTTTCGTTGCACAGAGTGTAACTTGCATTTTGCAACCTACAGGTGCGTAATTTCACTACTTCGTACATTTTGAGGTTGAAAGTCATGCCATTGGCCACCACCCAGTCTTCCAGAATGTATAGATCTTCCTGCAGCCTGTCTGAGTCTTCCGAACACTTCATTGCCCTCCATATCTTTACGTTGTCAGCGTATAGAAGAGTCGGGCAGCTTGGACGGTATGGTAGGTCATTGATGAAAATCAAAAACATCAGTGGTCCTAGGATAGAACCCTGCGATACTCCTGATGACGAGTCGTGCCAAGATGATCGGACTCGATTGACCTTAGTGCAAAATTTCCTTTCAACCATGACAGCAGCAGCGTACCTATACCTGCCTGACTTATTTTGTGTAGGAGAAGTTTGTGGTGAGGGGTATCAAATCACTTCTTACAGTCTAGGAAGACCACATGGACTGGAACATTCATATCAGTATGATGTCCAATTTTCCCGAGCTGATAGTAGGTTAGCAACACAGGATCTGCCTTTCCTGAAACCGTGTTGGGCTTCATGGAGTCTGTCATCCAAGTCTCATAAACTGTCAATGTCCAGCTTTCGCTTCGCTGGACCTAGCGCTGTCCGTCGAAGACATTCAGGAACGCTTTGCATTAACCAACGCGAAAACCAGAACACTGATTCGCAACTCAAGAATCCCTTATTCTTACGCCAACATATAACCAACAATAATGTTATAACACAAGGTCTAAGAACAAATGTTATAGCAATAAATCACGATATTACTTCTGATAGTTTTTATCTTCCTCTGAACGGAGAACGATGAGACGATGACTGCCTGATTGATGACCCGCGAAAAATATTGGGGAGTTTGGTTTGAGCAAACAACCATGAATTGATCGTTCAATCTTCAAATGCAATGACAAGTCTATTAGTCCTATCGAGGTTTTGCCTGATGTGATAATCAATAGTACTTTCCAGTACTTTTGGTACCACTGGGAGTTCAACTACTGGTCTATAACTAGTGGCATTTTGCCTATCCCCACCTTTGAAGATTGGAGAAAGGATGGCTCTTTTCCATTCCCTTGGCAGTTTCCCAGAATCCATCGAGTTCGAATTAAGCAAGAACAGCAGTGGTTTGCGCAGAAAAGTATGGTACCGTCATTTATTTCGTTGGTTTCTCATCATCTGTTTACAGCCTAAAAAATTATGAGGTTTACGTACAGAAAAGTTTTAACATACTTGCAAATTTTACATGTTGTCAGTTGACAATTAGTGAACAGTGCTCAGAAAATTGCGCTTATATGGTTTTTACACAGGCAGTTCAAGTTAAAGCAAAATAAATTCATGCATACATTGGTTAGGGAGGGGGCGTTGATATGGCATGTTCCCTATTTGAAGTGAGACCTCTAGCTTAACCTTGACGGCATTTGCGCGGTTTAGTTGATTCGAGTTAGAGCTAGTCGTCCAGGCAAACACAATAGACGCGATTTCACCTATGAGCCTCAGTTATGTTTATGAAATCGTAATATTACATCAGTTAAATCTTCCCCCAAAACCAAGGCCACTTGAAACCAACAGCAACATAGCAACAAGCGTCACTGCGGAGATATGCAATAAAGTCGCTCAGTCGCATAAGGGCCTACAGGAAGTTTTGGTGCAAATTTTTCAGAAAAGATGGCCTGATGTAGTCACAACCTGGGGACTTTCCAGATGTGAGTCTCTGTAGCTTCCCCGGTACTACTGCCGGGTTTATTTGGAGAGTAGCCACTTGTTTTGCCTACGGTGAAGTAGTAGATCTGCCATTTTGGTCCGTACCGGTAATACCCGGATTGCTGTTTCCAATATAATCTATTTTCTATGACTTTCCACTAGGGCCCTACCTAGTGTCATCTCCAGCATTCTCAGTCAGTCCTGTATTTCGAATGGTTTGCAGTAGATTTAAACCGAATTTTCCCTGAGCATACTCCGAGCCAAATTCCAGTAATGGGGCATTGATACCTCGAGCTATGGTGATTTGGTGTCCCCGTATCCCGTATCCCTATGGTGGTGCTGAGCAGTATCTGGTTGTGCTCTGCCGCAAAGGTGGGTGATATGTAGATGCCATCCAATAAGTGCTTGGTGTGGCCTACGGTGAAATGACACCGTAGGGAATCTGGGAGCTCAAAGTATATGGCAACTCCCCTCCTTCCTTGTTATCCCCGTCTCTTCTGACCAGAACTATATCGCTTATACCGATTTCGTTGTCAGCGATAGTGAGCGTTGGCCAGGTTTCAGTGAGAATGATTATTTTAAGGAGCATGTGTGATTGGAGCTTTCTGAAGTCACATACTTTTCCTCTCAGCCCTCTCATATTGCCGTGTGGGCAACTGACAGTAAGTCCCACAACCTCGGTGTGTTGTGGGGTAGTTGACTATACGCTGTCTGCTGGTAGGGGACTTAATATTGGGACTAGTTGACCGATTTCGATGGGACCGGCTCGTTGTCGTTTTTTTCCTTGGATTCGGGTATGACACTTGGGTGACACAGACTGTTATTTTCAGTGCCGTATCGCTCTAGTGTCACTGAGGCTTCGGGACGTAGTAGGGCCTCAGTTTGCTGCCTCCTTATGGCTCGATGTCTGCTTTCACAGCATCGGATGTGTCCTTCCATCTTCCCCTTGGTCTCGTACCCCCGTTGAAGTATCAGGAGCAACTGTTCCTTGGAGTCGAACTTGACACTTAGCTGTCTTGGGGAACTAATCAGTGTGAGACAAGAGGGACGAGGTGTCTGGAAAATCGAGATTACTCCAGAAGCACCAGAGCCCTCTGAGATGACAGCCATCTCCATTGCTGTACGTCAGGCATGTGTTTTTCACAAGCGGCGCCAGTTTCCAGCTCCGGAACACCGTGTATGACGATAAATGCAGAAGGCATCAGTTGTAGTGACTCCCTGAAGGCTCATGGTCTCGTAAACCTTTCTGTTGATTTGGACTGTAAGTCATTTGGATTAAGTATGAGTGCCACAAGATTACTGTCCGAGTGCCATCCGTAACATTCTACTGAAGATGCAATGCCAAACGTTGCTGAGAATGCGCCCCATTGGCTGAAATAGAGGAGTAAGTGGAACTGAGGTAGCACTTAAAAGAGTAGTCCACGGAAAAGACTGTTTAACCCAATGGTTTCACCACCTTGTTCCTGAAATTGGAAGTAGTGAGGTTTGCTCTGCAACTGTAGGAAGCAAGCTTGAAGATTACTGTGCTGTGTTCTCAGTATAGTTTATTCCCATAGTCTCCAGCCCACACGTAAACTAGTTTTCACTAGCCTATGTAGGAACAGGAGGAAGCACTGTATTACTTTCCTCTATCCAGGATAGGTTTCATACAGCCTTAGGAACGACTGCTGCAGAAATATACCTCACTGTCTTCCCATGATTATAACAAAGCACATACCTTCATCACTTTCTTCGTGTGGTTCGTGTCTGTCCGTAAATTCTCAGTTTGAATTAGACTGTCCATTCAATGACGCAGTGCAGGATAAGGCACTGCCACAGAAGGGTAAGGCTAATTGAGCTGAAAGTCTCAGTATTTCGAGAATTATTCAACAGGCACCTGAATAAAATGTAACTCACCGAAATTTAGAAATTCTCTTTGAGGGACTGTAGAGAGATATACTGTTGTGTATTACTATTCCCTGACGAAGAGGAACAAGTGTGTGCAGCCAGTATATCAAATACTTGGGCATCCCACAGCACAAACAGTGAGACCGCATAGCTTTCCATTTGAGAATTTCACTCTCAGTTTCACCATAAAAGAAGCGAAAAGCCAAAGATGTCTGGATCTTTAGCCGTCGAGAAACAAACTTGCTTCAAATAAGACTTCAGAAGAAAGAAAGCTTCTGAAACCTTCCTACGCAGGCTCGACTGTTTAATACGCATAAATTTTATTGTGCAGTAGTGGCCACAGTCGAGGTTATAGTTATAGCGAAAGCAATAGTCATAAGTGAGACTGGGGCTACGCAGGTTCGAGGAAGCTATCATGTGTTACATTAGTTCACGCTTGCTGCAACATAACGTGTTGCAGTAAATGTCGAATGCATGCACACCCTGAGCGATACTCTGCAGGCACGAGTGGATATAAAACAATACGAGTGTTGAAACCTGAGGATGAGACAGCAGGGTTAGTGCCGTTCATCACCAATTAGTAGGAGCGACGCTGAACACTCAAAAGTGAGTGGTCACAGGGAAGTGAAAAACTGTTTCTAATGACAATCAAACACCTGAAATTGCCGCACAATATAGCTTCCTGTAAGACTGGTCGATTCGCCAATAACCATCTCTAAATGGATATAATATTACCCATGTTCACCACGCAAAAGAGGCTATTTTCTGAAGGAAAAATACGATTGCTTTCACAAAAGCACTATTACTGATAATGCTAATGACGGCAGTAGCCTAGTTCAATGAGGCTTTATTAGCAGTGTGGAAGAATTTCTTTTTAATTTTCAAAAATATAAATGTATCAAAATTTAATTTTTTCAGTTCTCTGTTTGTCCTATCTTATTTTGTTCCTGTTCCCAGTCTTCTTGCAGTCTTCCGTGTTTTGTCTGTAAATTCTTTTGGTCAACTTCCTCTTCTGATAGTGCCTCATTTTCTACTATTCTAGAGGATTTTCTGGGAAAACTGTATTCCTAAGTTCCAGTGATGACGCTGAACTTGTGTTAACCATCTCTTCAAAAATGTAACATCGTAATTATAGCTTCGTTTATAAAAATGCGTTCAAAATTAATTCATAATTCCCAGCAAATACAAGAGGATCAAAAGGGCAGCCACAGGGAAGAAGAATACGTGTGAACAAAGATGCACAGTTTTACCTTCACTCGCGTGGTGAAGAGTGTGCAAGGAAGAGTGATGCATAGATAAACAAACAGTTGGTTCTAGTAAGGGGGACACAAAAGGTTTTAAACGGACAGAATTTTATTTTCAACTTCATAAAAAACTACAGAGAACATTTTCACTTGCCCCAAAGATTTCTTTGGCGCGCAGAAACTAATTAATACGCTACTGTCGGATTTTTATTGATTGTCTTCAATACTACGTTTCAAATACCAGTCGATTTCAGAAAACCTTTATTGTAAGTTTCTTTTTGAAAATAAAATTTAAAGGCGAGCTCCGACTTTCATTTTATGGATTTACTTGTAGTATATGTATATCCAACATTGATAATATCCATTATTACCATGAAATTTAATAATCACATGTGATTACAACAAATATCTTTAGAGATATATGTCTTATGTATCTCTTTGCATAAGAAAACGCAGGTCAACAGGCTTTCTTCGACGCTTCGTCCCATAATGGAACCCAAGCTTACATTATTTTTAAATTAATTCTAACCTACCCAAGCCAAAAATAATGCCGAAGTAAATCTGGCAAATTCTAGACTTACTCAAGTTAGTTCCGCACAAATTAAAACTTAGTCTCGGTTTCCATGTTGACTGACACCAATTCAGCGCTCTGTGATTTTTCTCGGCATTTTCAGAGGTGACTCGGCCTTTTTTCAGCCCTGTCAGCCCGGATTTAGCCCTGGCTGACATTAATTTAGAACAATCAGACAGTTCGGTATATACTGGGAAATTGACGATTCGGAAGTTCAAGCAACAAAATTGGCAATCCAATAACCTACTCATCACTCACTTTGTTTAAAAGTACGAAGCACAGGAGTGAATATTTTGTCCCTATGTGTTGGGATAATAATGCACTTGCAAACAATATTCAGATAAGATATTCGGAAAATTGCTTAAATGAGTGTCGAGTGTTTGAATATCCGTAAATTTCTAGCTTTAAATGGTGAGATGAAGTCATCACTAAAGTCACAGTATGGTCGAAAGCGAATTTGTTCTTCACTTTCGCCTCCACTATAATTCCTGGTCTACCTAAAGCCAGAGTAACATTATGCAGTAAATAAGATGTAGATATAGTATTCAGATGCTCACTTCTCCTTCGGTAAACTCAATGCTTTTAGTATCAGATTCTTTAGGTGCATGTTTCACACCTGTCCTTTTCTTTAGGTAGACTTACTCAGCATAACTCTGAATTACCTGCTTGGTCATATCATATCCACAGTGTGAAGACTATCTAATCTTACGCCTATAGGATTCGAAGATAAATACTTCTAATGGCCCATGCAGCTAGACGTCATCAGCAATATGTTTCAGCGAATGGGTATTGCAAAAAATATGTTCACTTCCGAAACAGTTCTTATATTACAGCGAGAAATCTGTCCGACCAGCATCCCAAAAAAGAGGGCTGTATTTGGAACCAAACAGTGAGCACACTACTAGTAATAGTCTTCAGATATTAGAGTACAGGGGCGGCGGCAGAGTATTCCTGAGTAGAATGGGATCCAAATGTAATGGAGAGTCTGCACTCCGTCGCCTTCCATTGGCTAATCTCAGCTAACTACCGACATTTCCCTTAAAAATCAAAAGAAATGGAGTCTTTACTTACATGTTAGCCGTTATTTATATCTGCAATCACCTTATCACCCATTTACTTTTCTCCCCGAACTTCAAGAAAAAGAAACACCAACTTCTTAACAACACCAAGGTATATAAGATGTGTGAGCTGCATAGGGAATGATTTAACAATCTCAAGTCTCGTATCTGGTTCCCATTAGGAAATGTCATTCTTCCCTACAAACGGCGACCGGTGACTTCATGCTTATCACAACCTGTTTTTCCATTGTAACCTAGTTTGTTTGACGTGAGAATGAGCATATAAACGCTAGAGCACTAACAGTCACACTGCTACCCAAATTGTCAACATATAGCTGTTATTGTAAAGACCTTCAATTTAGCTAATAGGTCCCTAGAAATCTCGCTGAAGTTATCAAGTTTCCTCAGTCCACCATGTATGCCGACTGAGAAAAAACATATGGTGTCATGATACGACCTAGGAATGGCCACAGTTGCTGCGAAGAACTGTTCGATATCGTTGAACTGTCAGAATGTTGAAAAGTGTCATAGTCAACCGAACTACCTGGATAACATATCAATAAATGTGTAAAACTTGGGCACTGTGGTAGTAAGTAATTCCATATTAGTTTGTTTATTAGATGTATCACACAGTGAAACAGTATTATTTACTGTGTGATACATCTAATAAACAAACTAATATGGAATTACTCAGATAGCGTTTCAGATTTTCCTTCAGTTCAAAATGCTAGTAGATACCTTGTCCAAAAATCTAGATACACATATACCGCTATCTTTTAGCAAACCTCTGATGGTTGTTGGCGCATGTGGATTGAATTTACGGATACAGTCCAACATTTCCTGCTCACCAACTCCTGTAACATTCGATGATAGTAACATTTCCATAATCGACCTTCTAAGCAGCTTTTTGTACGTCATCTTCATAGGAACAACCTGAAGTCCTATTAAAAATATCTATTACACAATAATGCATATTACGGTTCCTCTGAGTTGGTGAAACAGCGGTGAGGGTCTCATTAGTACTAGTTATACTCACTGTTCCCTGTATAGTTGAACTTGAAAACAGAGGTACTGTATTGTCCCTTGACACCTCTTCACTAGATGCACACTGACGTTTCTAGAAATTCCATTCACTAAAAGCTGCATCACATAATCGTTTATGACGTTGGTAAAACGTGGAGTAGCTGTATCCAAAGCATTCATTTAGCCTGCCAGAAGATCTGCTTCTCTTACAACTTTTGATATAATGTTGAGTACCCGTACCTAGCACATTATCTGAGTTGTTTTCCTGATAGTAAAAATGAACAAACAGTCTACACCAAAAATCTCACTCACCTGCATGCCTAATAAATCCTCGAATAATGATCTTTTAACATACGGACCACATCTTATACACCTTTTGCCAAATATGCGTTTTTTATAATAAAAGGGATGACAATAAACAGTGACCATATGGTTAACTGTAATCACAACTGTAAACATGTACATTCCTTCTCTCTGTTTTCGTGGGTTAGAATTAAATATTGATACGTTATCACAGCAGCTAATCAACGCCATTCTGTACCATTGTACAATGATTAGTATTGCATTGTCTTTGGGAGTTTAGTGGTTGGTGTAAATTCTGGATTTGAAGGGTCTTATTGGTTTCCACTAATTCACTCCACTAATAGAAGATACGATTACCCGTTAAACATAGTCACTAAGTTGCATAGTCTTTGGACACTCCAAGCAAATTTTATTACTTTAGCATAACGTCATGAAGTTAGTTTATCAGTTGTTGGGTAATGGAGCCTGGTCAACTGGTTAGGTTGAAAAGTTTCACTTTTGGAACTGCTAAGAAAATGTACTACGCAAGGTAAGTTATCGTCTACTTTTTCACCGGGAAAAGTCAAGATGTGTCAAACTGGAAGTAGTAGCATTTCCTAGAGTCTCATACTGTTTTCACAATTTTCAGGAAGTGTAAGCTTATTGGTTTAGGTCAACATGATGACTAGACCTGATGGTTAGAAGTTATCAGTCAGACTAACTTCAGTGATATCTGCGACTTTATACTGCATTTTCACATAAAGCGTGATATCTTTTGCTGTTTTGTCTGACATTAAGGTTTCTGAGTAGTGACACCATATCATGTACTCATGTCTTTTAACATGAATAGGAGTGAAACGTGCAGAGAGTGTGCAGTGTTTTTCTGTTTAATGGTAGTGGCTATCCCGAAGTTTTATCACTCGTATGAAATGAGTCATTTTTAAGTAATCATGAATTAATGAGTAAGCGTTTAGAGACAAATGTTGTATGTTACTTTATTTAATTTACGGATGTATTGTATTATTAGAAAGTAATGCACGAATCATGTGTAACTGATGGCAGAACATGTTTTGAAGACCTATCCTTATAAATATCAGTAGAGTATATATTTGAGTGTAATTCTCGTCTGTAGTTCTGTAATGTCACCTGGCTCCATAACCAAGTGTTTTACCCACTGATTTACTATTTTTTGCGCAACATTGGATGTCTGACTAACATTTTATTGGAACAAACTGTATTTCGATTATCTAAAAAACGCCTGCTGCCACAGTCTAGTATGAGTTAGTTTGATTGATAGTGATACTACCAGACTTGTTGTGACTCTGTTCTCTTCGAAATTTCAGTCAGTCGAAAACTGCGTACAGATATCTAATTAGTGGCATTTGTTGTTTGATAAACTCAACGAATGTTGACTAATGCAAATACTTTTACTAAAAAACATGATTGACTGGGTTTTTTGAGTGTGAGCAATCATTTTTTGCCTAGCACTATTTATAGTAAAGCTAACTACCAGGTCGTATATGCATGTTTCTGAGTGAGTAAATATTATTCTTTTGCATATATATATATATATATATATATATATATATATATATATATATATATAACATGAACACATATCAAATTGAATTATTAGTGATTTTTGTGGACTTTCTTTCTAGTGTAACGTACCATGACAAATACCACACATGCATATCTATACGAAAAACATGGGCCAGCTCACATCACTCTAGAATCTCTTCTTGATTCTACAGGTCTTACACCCCCTTCTCCTCTCGCAGAATCGATTGGTACTTCTCTAACTGATATGAATTCGGTGTCTGCAATAAAATATAATGTACCACACAGTTATTATGCTAATCCTACTATTTATGTGATGGATCAAACAACTAACACTACCGAAAATTCTTCCATTAATGAGTCTCGAAAGCAAACATTGTTGCAGAATGTGTGTTTGGAACTTGTTTATCTTCTTAAAGATCAAGATGTTAATGGCTACTTTCTCTATCCACTGCCACACTCCAGATATTCTGAAGTAAGATTTTACTGTTTCGTATCTGTTTTGGTCAGTAGTTAGTTTTTTCCTAGGCTTGTTTCATGATTTTTTTTAAATAATAGTACTAATTCATTAAAAAAATTGTCGAAGGCTTTATGCTTTGATTCATATAAGAATGAAAAACTCATGTTTTCCTTTGAAGTGTTTGAAATTTGAGATTCTTTTGACAAAGTATGTGTTATCTGTAGTTTTGGTGTTGTTATTAGCGAACTAAAAGGATTCAAACACTGTACACATTTTAGCCTTACAAAACACCTGAAATAATAAGATCATTGTTCTTCGGTATGTTACATATTATGGTCGATAGCTTAGAGCACATGTATATCAATTCATAGGACAAAACCTAAGGAGAGGTATAGATTTATTTTTATTTCACTGTCAAATTTCGCATTAAAATAAATGGGCTTGCCATATGAAGGTGATGTCGTTGAGTCCAAAGAAGAAGCAAAAAAAATTGGCTGGGATTCTAAACGTGAGTACAAGAAAACTTTTGCATCTTTATTGTTGAATGAGAGAAGGAAGAAGTATAATAACTAATGTACGTTTTTAGGAAGAGGCCAGTAGTCGAGAAATATTCACTCGGTTAATTAAAAACACTCAAATTAAGTATGTATATTTCAAAACTGTTTGATCGCAAAGCACGATGGTAACAGCCAAAATACTAAAGCTCAAAGTTGTGTAGAAGAGAGACACATTTCATCTATTTTGGTCACTTAAAGACAGTAGATTTGTCCCATTCTGTCTTTGTAAGATTCGTAGGAGCAATAAAATATCTTGGATCAATGTTTTGTTAGTGTCTCGTTTAAATTTTGTTGAAAAAGAAAAATATAGGACCATAAATGAAGTGGTGCGCCGGTGGCACAACGGTAGGATGCTCGCCAACGACTCATGTGGATAGGGGTTCGATCCCAGACCAACACACTCCTTTACTTCACTTAGCGAGTAATAAGACTGGTAAAGAGGGAAGGTTGGTTATGAGGCTACCAATCCATCCCATAAAAGTAAACACCACTGCTATCGAAACTTCAAAGCTCTAACTTGAAGTCCTATGTACCACTGGGAACGTGAAGGAATAGGAAAATAATGAATGACGTGAAATGTTATCTGATGAACTGGATGATTTTAATGCATTACAATATTAAGATATATTCTGTCAGTTGTTTAAAGCTGTTCAAAAATGAAGGTTCGAGCATCGGAAAAAGCAGAACTATATTGCATTACACCTAAGTAAATCGTTCAGACACAGTGGTTAGGACTCTCGCCGACCTTGCACATGGTCCAGAGTTCGATCCCCTGCCGACGCACACCTGATATCAATGGTAGGCCTGCAAAATTTGGGCTACAGATATCCATGCTGAAAATTCCATACTTGTACTAAAAATACAGTGTGGAATCAAGCTGTAATAAAAAAATGTAAAATAATATGATATGTTGAGGAAACTTGGATCAGTTTTAAGTTCGAAATATTCGTCGTAAAGAACATGTTTTCGCCTTTCCAAGTTAGTCGAAGGTGATATTGTTTTGTGTTTCAACCGATTTGCCATCTAATGAACAAATAAGTATTTTTAAAATTCATTCAAAAGTCCTATCTGTATTTTTTCAATCTTTAGTCTTCATCGCATTCACTTGGATTATTAGATGTTGAAAAACAAGTCTATAAGAGATATTACAAGAGTTTATCGGAGTTTCAGGAAGACATTATTGGCTTACTCACAGGTGCTGTTCGATATTATCAGGTTGAATCAATGGCACATAATGAAGCACAGCGACTACTAAATCTGAGCAATGATTGGTTTAATTCATTATCTCCAGAATATGCTATTAACTTAAGTCATCCAGATGACAATTCACCGTTGGTTCAAAAAGGTGCACAGACTGAAAGACCCGATAATATTGACGATAATGACCTCATACCTAAGGAAACCTACTTGAAAATTTTAAATCCAGATAATTGTGGTATTATCAACAAAACAGAGCGGGTTCAAAGTATTGGAGATGAGGTTTGTTTTTAATCTGTTATTTCTTTTATTATTCCACTATGATCATCCTTACCATATAATTTATCACGATGATATGAGTGTCATAATGTTTACTCGGTGGTATGCTTCAATTCTTTGTATTGAGCGTTGGGCAGGATAATTATAAGTGTGAAGGATGCTGTCCATCACCGAAGAACTGAGTTTCTTAATTTCTCTAAAGTCAGTATCTGTTGGTTGGCTAAATCGGTACCACAATATAAACTTTCATCCAAATATGTCCCTGTGTAGTGTGCCGAACAGTCAGTCAAATACGTATCAGACTTCTAGTGAATGATCATCACTAGTGAAATATGATCAAATCCTTTAAACAAAACGGTTTTCACTATATCCTGATGTTTCATTAACATGCTTATGCGAACCTAAGTCATGAATGAACTACCTTCTCATCGATTATAATAGAACTACAGCCGGCCTTTTATTATAAAGCAGTCCTTTTCAGTAGCACGATAGTATTCATTTAACAACCGTGTAAATTGGGACATTATGTTAATTGCTTTATAGTCTTCTATAGAAATGGATGCGTTGTTGTCGAACTCATTCTTACAAAACTGTTGGAACATAGCTCCTATTTTATTCGTAGATAATGAATAATTTTCTATACTAGTTTCTTCAAGGGGCTTACTGTATGGTAGCAAAAAACATCATCCCTAGAGAAATTTCTTATTGTTTAGGGGTTATCAGCTGTACTGAACCTATTCTCAGTTATTGCATGCACTCCAGTCACATTGCATCCAGTCAACAATCTCACCTAGGATAGCTTCCTACTTGAGGATTAAAACTACCTGTTAAGATGATATCCAAACTTTTGACTTTTGGCAACAAAGTAGACAGTTTGTGATAAAAGCCACTCTTTACTTCGTCAGGATTTTAGTCATTTGGCACATGGAAGGAGATTACGAAAAGGTATGAACGAGTATCATGATCTTTCCGTGTCACACATCCTTGCAACCAGATAAACGACAGATTGAATGCCCATTGGGAACCGACATAGTAGGTAGTTTTCTGCTGTTGACGTGATTACTTTTTCTACATCATCGAGTTGACGGAACTCAGCAAAGAATTTCTTGACACCCTTAAGACAAACTTCACCATGCTTTTCACATGAGGTTAAGTTAATGACTACATTTGTATGCATGTCTTAGAAACATCACGTACATCCAGAGCCTTAGACATCAGATTTTTAGCCAGTGAAGCCTGCTGGCCTATTTAATATAAAACCCGAACGTTAAAGCCTTTGATGTAAAGATGACAGCGTAGCTTTTAGAGACTGAGGACGAGGTTTCTCTGGCTCAAACCTCTATTGCTGGTCACAGTTAGAAAATGGAGAAACTGTCAGCTGGATAGTGTTAGCAATGTAATGAAGGCAAGAAGTTGACAGTAGGTAATGAACAAAAAATTTTGTTCACTTCAATAAGAAGAAGAGTGACAAATTCTGTACTTTTTGATACTCGCGGATTACATTGAACAATGAACAAGTAGCTTTGGTAACATTTGGAAATATGTTCGAAAGTGTGTTAGAAGATCTAGGTTATTTTATGCATTGAACATGTAACTTTATTTAAATTTTTTATCTGTTCTACTGTTTTGATAACTTTTTATTTATCTATTTACAGGCAGGTCACTTGTACTCAGGTTCCTTTTTACTCCCCACTGGCGGCTATCGAGAAGATCGACGCAATAAAGTCATACCATACACATATTTGGACTACGGTCCCTATTACTCATTTGCTCCTATCTACGATAGCGGGGCTTCTCATTGTACTCCTGAATCGAACCAGTTGTTACTAGGGACAACTTGGCTTCCAGCTCGTACTCCATTGATGCTCGGCAAACGTTCCTTCGATGGTTTGGATTCAAACAGTGGTTTGTGTGACATTGAAATCACAGATGAAACAATATCTACCGTTTTGGAAATGGGGGACCAGCAATTGGCTGTTTCCCTGGCAGTTGCAGAAAGTGAACAGCGTACAGCTGAACAAATGTCGTCTGAATTGGAGGATATTATTCCCGGCCCAGATGTACCTGATGAATTTGTGTTTAGCATGTGTTTGGCCAATACATTTACTCGTGATCTTATTAAAAGGGAAGAAGAACGTTGTGATATGGATTCAAATGATTCGTGTAATGAATTCAAAGAGTCGAAGACAATAACCAATGGAGAAACTTCAGAGGACTGTGTGGGATCTTCAGTTGCCATCTGTGAATTGGATTCCATTTCTCATCATAATTTGGCAGATTCAAATATCAGTACATATTCTGGAGATCAAAGTTAGTTGGTTTCATGATAGTTACATATAACTTTTTTTTTTAAGTTTCCACCTTTCCAAAATTTCATGAAGTTAGTTGGTTATTTGTTGTGAAGGGATTTAACTGGTATTTATGTCGGTTCCATTTAGTTTGACTTTTTTCTGAGTTCCTGGAAGGAATCGTTAACTGTACTACAATTGTAACAACAGAAAATAAGAGCCAGGCAACAGATCGTTTATTAAGGAAATCACTTATTTATAGATTTTCATGTACATATTATAGATTATAGCAAACAAACAGTATTCTGATTGGTTGTTTGTCACAGAAAGTTAACCTTGCATCTCTTTGTGGCTGTTTCTGGAATGTCAGATCATCTATATGTTAACCGTATTCGCCTACGCAAAGCCTTTATTCTCATTTTTCTCACGACCAATATTGGGGACATAAACATTGACGTAAATTGCTGTCCACCAATTTTGACTGACAGCCATCTCTCACCACACAATCAGTGCATTTGATAGTTATATATATAGAATTATGGACTTGTTGTTTGGTAGTGGTACATTGGCGTGGTCAGCGTTTTATTTACAAGTTTCCTTTTTGATCGGACACTAGTTAGCAACTAGTGTAATGTGTGTGTGTGTGTCTAGTCTTATCTTTGGTGCAGACTGAATTTTATCAGTCAAGTTTGCAATGTGACCACCATTCTAGTTGGCTTGCCATCACAGTGCACTTGTTGTTGTTGATATTAGACGGTTAGAGGCAGTCGACAGGAAGTCTTGGACCTAGATTTCATGCTAGTTGACACTCGTCAGCAAGTGATGCGGTTTCGAATCTCGGTAGGGACATGAATTTCTTCAGGATAGTAAGTGCCAACTAACACGAAACCTAGGTCCAAGACTTCCTGTCGATTGCCTCCAATCATCTAATAACAAGTTTCCCTATATGTGTACTTCTCACTAGGTGCCCAATTATTTTCGAACCATTCGTTCAAATCTTAATCACAGTTCATCATATGAAGTGTTCCAAGTAGTTGCATAATGTTGTGTGTGTGTGTGTGTGTGTGTGTGTGAGGATAACTCATTTAGATATACAGTTTTTGACTTGTACAAATTTCTCTTTTCCACTTGTCAATAATTCTTAATTTTGTAAAATGATGATATAATGATAGTGCGAATTTTTTTTGTTTTGCTTTTTATTCATAGATAACATTAATGATACAAGTCAATTGGAAACAGAATTAATAAAATCTAGTGAAGACTTAAATGCACTTTACTGTGCACAATATTTAAGACTTAGTGATACATCACAAGCTGCAAATCATGGTTCAACAATACAACCAAATTCAAAAGAATTATCCATTGCGCATAGATTAACAGAAAGATTAATTAAACTAACAAAATGTGCTCGTCCTCAAGATGTTATTCACTTACATTCAGTAAGAAAAGCAATGGGTTTAAATCCTGATGATTATTTTTTACCTGAAGATTTGAATTCAACGGATAACTTGGTTGTTGGTGCTGAATAACTTGACTGTCAAAATGTCGCGAAGTCTTTTGATGTCGTTGTTTTTGTTGTATAATGTATAATATATATACTCTTTTATTCTGAAGCCTGTGTTGCATTCCTGTTGTGGCCTAGTATTAAGGTCAGCAAGGCTGTCTATCAGAGTAAAAGTAATATTTAAATGTAAATAAGTAGTTTACTATTGTCCTTCCACATTTTTGTTTCTCTACCAAATTTTATTTATAGTTTTTTTTCACATTATGTATTATACATGCTTTTAGCACACCTCATATCCTTATCAATATGATGTTTTCTAATATATGTAAATTATTATTCAGTCTCTTTTTTTACGCATAAATATATTTATAGTTACATATTATTATGTTTATTTTTTGATAAGCACTTACGGCATAAAAGTTAAGTTCATGTAACCATTATCGTTTAAAGAAAAAAGAAAGATTACCAGTGATTCTCATTCTACTGAAGTTGATGTCTTGAGGCATTAACTAATCCATGCTGTGATGAATTGAAACTTATTTTGATTATTCTTGAAATCGTTATTATTATTATTACTTTTCCTGATGTCTGATAACGACAACACGTAGTAGGTGGTGACGTCAAGCGAAACGAAAGTAAATTTCTGACATCCTAATTTCATCATTTTTTTTCTTTTTTACACTATTCAATCACTTCTAGGATGAAAACACTCTTATGCATTTGAGTGATACAAAAACCTGGGCTATTTGTTCGAAATTGCCAGTTCTGTAATGACTTAGATTTATATTTCTTCTGCAATCGTCACGCATTACCTCACTGGTAATCTGCTAATCCTAGTTTATCCAAGACAGTCAATAAAACATTTATTGGAACTAATGTATTTCCCTATAAATACCCTAGTCCAAGGATGTTATATCAGAATCAGTGATCCTTAAATAAGCATTGTATCGTATTCAAATTTAGCATACCATACATTCTAGTGATTGAGAATTACCTTGGTTACAAAATGATAAATGTTGTAGACAACAGGTATACACGGTGTGTAACTTTAATTTTAGCCGTAGTTATTAGTCTGTCTTGGTTTCCTGAAAGTGTGTTTATTAGTATGTAAACTGTAAACTTGTAACATTCACAACCTTTTAAAAGTCAATCATTTGGAGCCAAAGTAAACATTCATGTTTATTCAAATTTTAGATACATAACGGAAGTAACAACATATAGAATTCAGGTACTGTTGTAACAACAGAAGACAAAGGCCAGGCGACAGATCGTTTATTTAGGGAATCAACCCGTACTTATAGATTTTCATGTACATTATTATAGATTATTGTAAGCAAACAAACAATCTTCTGATTGGTAGTTTCTCGCTGAACGTTAATCTTTCATCTGTTTGTGACCGTTTCTTGAAGTTCAGATTATCTAATCTGCAAATTGTATCCGCCTACGCACAGTCTGCTGCGATTGGTTGTTGAGTCAGTCTGTGTTCTTATTTTTCTCATGTCGAATATTGAGGACGTAAACATTGACGTAAATTACTGTCTACCAATTTTGGTTAGCAGCCAGCCCTCACCACACTTTTACTGAATAGTGATCACTCAATGTTTTAACTGTGTAATGGTCACATTACTGTAATCTGATTAATTATTTATGGATTATAAACACTTCTTGATCAATGAAAAAAGCCCAATGGTACTCTCTCAGGTGAAAAACTAAGAAATGGAAACACATGGAAATTGAAATCTACTGTTCACTGTTGTTTTCTCAGTATCATATCAATATGATATAATCTCATAGGCTTGGCACAGTGTCGAAAATAAGCGAATAATTTAAATCTACGCTATAAACTGGAGTAGAGAATAAAAGGTGTAATGGATTTAGAACTCCGCTCAGAATAGGCTGGTTTCAGGAAAGGCAAATCGTGTGCTTATCAAATAGCTACTATTGCGCATCATCATAGGAAAGAGCATAGAATGGCAGTCAAATCTCTACCTCAATTTCATTGACTTTGAAAAGGCCTTCGACTGAGTTGACGGAGAAGTATTTTGGAAACTTATTCATCACTGTGATGTGCAGTGCCCAGATCTTTATCAACCTCATTCAACAACTGGCTATATGACAATACCACTTGTCAAGTGATCCACAACGGAAAACTCAGAGAGACGTTCGAGGTGAATACAGGAGTAAGACACGGCTGTTTGATTATTATCACCGATGATATTCCTGATTGTGGTGGACTAGATTATGCGTCCAACTGTGACCAGCGAGAAGGCAGGAATACTCTGAACCACCAATAAGAAGACTTTAGGAGGTTTAGATTTCGTGTGAGGATGATATATGTCTAATGTCACACAAACTCGAAGACCTTCAGACGAAAACTGAGAACTTGGTAGAAGGAGCAGTGCAGCAAGGATAGGACCTCAAGTGAACATAGAAAAGACGGAATTGATCAATAGAGACAACAAACAGCACCAATCACTGTTGACGGGAGGAATTTGAAAGAGCTAACTTCCTTCACTCATCTAAGAAACGGTTGAAGATGTTAAGGCCAGGCAGAATCGGAAAGGCAAGATAGACCTTTATCAGTCTGAAATCGGTTTGGAAATCTTCCACGCTCAGTATAAGGAACAAGGTTCGGGTTTTCAAAACAAGTGTTAAGTCAGTCAGTTCTAATATAGGTTAAAAACTTGTCACCTGCGTCGTTAAAAGCATTGCAGGCCACTTCAGACCTTTATCAACAATTGCCTTTTGCGGCTACATACTGAAGATCAGGTGGCCGGTCAGAAAGTGTTTGTAACAAGAAACTATGGGAACAAACTAAACAAGAACCTATCGTTCATTAAATATGTAAGGGAAAATGGAGATGGATTGGGCATACGCTGAGTAGACCGTCGAATAACACCGCATGCCAGATCCATGAGTGGAACCTGAAGGGGAAGCGACGAGTGGGTCGTTCAAGGGTGACATGGAAAAGATCGTGCTAGGAGGAGATGAGAGATTATGAACAATCGTGGGTCCAGCGAAAGAGGACAACAGAAAATAGAACAAAGTGCAGATGTGTTGTTGAGGCCCTATGTTCCTTTTAGAACCCAAGGGAATAACAAAACAAAAAACCACAAACTGTGTTATTTTTCATTTACGCTTCGTCAAAAAATTTGCGAATCTTTCGTTTTCTATATGTTTGAACGAATAAACAATAATCAGTTAAATAAAAATTACTCTAAAGCTTCGGTAAAAGATTTCTTTGTTGAAATGGAATTCTAATTTGTATTATTTTACTTTAGTTTTACTACTTTCTTGTTTAATTATTGATCAAAAGGCAAAATATTTATATAGTTCGTACAATCAGTTTAAAGAGAAATCGTATTTCATTTAAAAATATACCGAACAACATTTTTCATTAAGATATCATTATTATCTTTATGTGATTTGTATCATTCTTTTACAGGATAAAACTGTTCATTGTGTGTACTCTATCAAAGAAGTCACATATTTTTCATCCAAATAGGTCTGAAAATTTTATGAGCGACTGATCTTTGGCATGAAACAAGATGATATTGTACCCATCGACGTGTTTTACCTTCACATTTTGCACGATATGCACAAACATTCCACCTTTTTGTGTATACAAGATATTGAATAGAATGTTTAAAATGTCAGATAATAAAAGAAATAGGAATGAAAGTAAATGATACTTTAATGGTTTTGTGTTTAATTATCCTTGTGATTCGTAAAGAAGAAGCCATACTGACAATCGTATAGTGTTATTTCAACTTTGTATTAGTACAAATTAGATTTAGCTGTCCACCATAACATTTTAAGTGGTACATTATCGTATTAATTATAACCAGTCAGTTAGTCTTAATATTTGTGTATAAGTTTGTATAAGTACACTAGAAAAGAATAAAAATACCTCAGGTAGCTATATGATTGATCTGTACAACTTGGTAGATGAATTTAGTTTCAAGGTCTATAGTAGGTGATAATATCAGTGCATCGTCGGAGATTCAATGGCGAAATGCCCACTAACCACACGCAGCTGGTCTGGGTTCATTTCTGGGCTGAAGCCCTCCTAAACAGCCTAGTCTAAAAGCTGGAAAAAAGAAGGAAACGTTGGGTGTCAGGCTAGCAACCGCATCACCGCTGCTGAAAATTCTAAACTTGAAGCACTAAGTTTCACTCGGAACATAAGAAATGAGAAAAAAGTCTCGAGTATGACTTAAATACAAGTGGATATTGTAGTGATTTGTCATATGGTCCTTGAAGGAACACAACATATTTCGATCTAGCATAACATGGATTTTAGTGATAACGAGTTACCCTAGTAACAAAATGATGAAATTGGGCGGTTGCAGTAGCAGAGAACGTCAGTTAGCTTTCTAACTCAAATTGTTTTTCATGGTAATTTTAAATTCCTTACATTTGTTAGTATACCCCTTCAGCTTCCTAATAAAGGATTAGCAATTGGCCAGCATGTTAGTATAGTTCCAATGTTGTCTTCCTCTTTTGATGTAGCTAACACTGACAAAGGATTATTTCCTAGATGACATAGTCAGCACCAGTAATAATCACACAACGTTCAAACCAGTTTATACTTCAAAAGTGTATCACTTCTTTCATTATATTGGTGGTAGAAATTGCCAAATATTTTGAATGGCTGATCAGATTTTATATTGTTCTTCAGATAGTCGTCTGCCACTGGTCTAATTTCAAGTATGAGGACTGGCACTGCCTTACTTGGTGACCGCTATCATCAAGACAATGATAAACAAACAGACTACTTAACCATTAGTTGTCTGTGTAAACGGTCGGTGAGAGATTACCCTTCTTTCTGGAACACATGTGTAGACTCCAGTCGTGCACATATATGCCTTACTTACCGGCGTCCAACAATCTTTATATTTCTTGACCTAATGGCGGCATTCGATTCTGTCGACCGAGAGGTACTATGGTGATGCTTGGCTGTAAAGGGAATGCCGAGAAAATACATTGTTCTGATAGAGGCACTCTACTTGAACTCGTGTAGCCAGGTAAGAGCTTATGGCGAGTTGTCATCTGAACTGATGGCAACTACCGGTGCCCATCAGGGATGCCCATTGTCTCCATGTCTATTCGATTTCATCGTAGATGTACTAATGGAACTAACCCTAACTGCTGATTTCAGCCACTCAGGAATTGACTTGTTACGAGGGAATAATCTTGTTGAGTTAGAATATGCAGATATAATCATTCTAGGTGAAGACGCTGACAAAACGAGGCACAATCTTCTGAATACCTTGAGCAGCAATCTTCGAATGTTTGGCATGAGATTCCCTCCTGTCAAATATAAGATGATATTACCGGACTGGACTACATTGACTCCTAGCTTAGAAATAAAGAGTGAAGTGGTAGAGCTTGTTGATGATTTTACTTATTTGGGAAGTTGCATCAGCCAGCGGCAACGGATTGATCGCTGACAGTGAGTCGTGCAACGAGAATGATCCTGGTGGGCTCTGAACATGATGATGAGCAAAAGCTGCCCAGACATTAGCTGATTAAAAGTGTTCGGAACTAAGCGCCAACTTTGGTGGGCTAAAAGGCATGAGAAAAAGACAATAACCGTCCACTATTCAAGCTTATTGGGGTAAGTGATTCTGGAATAATTGCTGTAAGTGTAGTGATCTCCGAGTTGAATCGAAATTTAACATATCATGAGAGATAGGCCATCAGAAAGAATACACTGAGAATCCGTCCAAATGGTTTACGCTGCATAGCAGTTCCTCACCACTCAGCTTCACCAGATTCTCCATCTGTAATCGCAGTTTTCAACTTAAGAATTATTAAAGCAGCAAAACCATATGTTATAACTCTGGAGGTTTTTAAGGGTGGTTAGTCATGACTGGCATCCGGGAATCCACAAGAATATTATGGTGATCGTCATGGACGCCCGATGTCATTGTTTTTATTTAACTTCATTGTAAACGTACCAGTAGATATAACCATGGTTGACTTCGATGTCTCAAGGATTGACCTGTTGTCCGGAAAATGTCTCATTTATCTAAACTGCTTAAATGGTCGTCTCCTTTAAGGTGAAGATGCTTAAAACCTAGAGCGAAAATCTTAGTATGCTTGGTATGTGATTCTCCATTATCGAATGCAAGATGCTGTGGCACGACTGATCTATAACAGCTCCCAGTTTGAGGATAGGAGGTGAAACAACTGAGCGTGTTGACCACTTCACTTATCTGGGTAGTTGTCTTACTGATTTTTAGTGGATATAAAAGGCCCGTTTGAAGCTTGCCAGCTTCACTTATCAACGTCTTAGGCGTGATATCTAGCCATTCACCAAAGAAAATATGTACTGTACAGCGGTTTGCTCTGTCTTTCCTTGTGACTGTAAAACATGGCGTCTGAATATAGGAGATATGAAAAAGTCAAAGATTTTGGGCATAAATTTTGGTGTGCAGTGACACATGCTTATTTACTGTAGACATTTAGTATACTCGATGACGTGTACGAAGCTGAGTTTACAATTTTACCATCAAATGTAGTTACTAGGATAAGAACTTAAGAATAATATTCTGCAGAGCTATTAAAGCATTATGATCATAAATAGATATAAGATTATTGCTAATATTGCCACACATATTATTATCTTTTGAATTTAAGAATTGATTTTCTCAAGGATAAAATATAACTAATGTCAGCTCATGATGAAATCCTGAAACCAATCAAATCCCTACAAACCAACACTTAAATAACAGTATTTAATTTAGTCATAATATCTGTACATAAAAATCATACTTACATCTGGCATAACCCATCCATTAATCGATAATGATATACTGTGTGTGACAGTGGTCGGTAGCATGGCTTTTGTCGACATACTCTCTTACAAGTTTTTCCTTGTTCTTCTTCTCCTGTCTTTTTTTCTGTACTTGTAGTTGCCTTTGTCTGGCATAAATATCGACATTGGACTCCGCATGCACATCGAATTTGCCGCTGAGAAAATGTATGTATTTGTTGAGGTTTACAAACTACATTTCAAAATGTTAAAATAGAATAAATTAAATAACACAATATCAATAAAAAAGAGTATTATCAGTGTTACTCTTTTTCTTCCAAAACCTTAAACTACAGATGTCGGAAAAATTCGAAAAGGAGCAAACTATGTGAGGGGCATTTAAATCATATATTTTTCAAGTACATCAAAAACTTTTATGCCTTATAGTATGGTTAATAAAATTCATCTCGATAATGTCATATATGTATAGGTGTAAGTAACATATCCTATGAGATTTAATTTTTATAGTACAAAAAATTCCTATTTCAGTTAATTAACTGTCATGTTAAAGAAGTCATCATTAAAACAAGAAAAAAACGCAATCACTTTAAACACCTAGTTTTTACATAACTTTCCAAGGTAAAGAATTTTAGCAGATATGCATTATTTCGATGAATATTTAGACACATAATATCACAGCTTCCTACCATAGTGCATACAGAAGAGTAATTTTTATTCGATAAAGGTAAACGAAAAATATGACATTTTTGATTTTAGAAAATTGAGGTATAAAGTATTGTCAGTATCATCTGTGTAACTGTAGGTTACCCTTAGCGCTGGAAATTCTAATTATTTGAGTTAATAAAGAGAGAATGATTAAAATGCTTTGATGGAATCCTAAATTCTATAAATAACTGGAAAATCCACTAATAGAGCACTTATAGGAATATGAAATATAAGAAAACGTGTTAGGTCTACTTTAAGCACAGACGCTAGGATGCTCACCGACTTTGCACATGGTCTGGGGTTCGATCCCCTGCCGGTGAACACTTGATATCAATGGTTGGCATGCTGAATATTCCATGGTTGTACCAAAATACTGTGTGGAATCAAGCTACAATAAAAATATTGAAATATCTACTAGAAGCTACGAAACTAAAAATATAGATCATCCTATTTATTATTTTGGTTAAATATTCTCGTGAAAATCACCTATCTCGGTTGCTTGAAAGGCAATCAACATCACTAAACACCTTATTTCGCCGGAAGTCCCATTCTTAGTTATGTACCAAGTTCAGTACAATAGTACAGATATGGAATTTATATTTAGAAGAATCCTAAGTGATTGCTCAATACTCAAGATCAGATGGCCAGAAAAGATCACCAACAGGGATCTCTGGCAATGAGCGAAAAACCAGGAACCGATTTTGAAACAAATAGGCAGGAAGAAATGGAGATGGATTGGCCATACACTGAGGAAACCAGCAAGTGACATCACTAGACAAGCCATCGCTCGAGTGGAACCCGAAAGGGAAGCGGCGAGTTGGTCGTCCAAGGGTGACCTGGAGGAAGTCTTGTGAAGCGGAGATGAAAGCATATGGGCAGACTTAGAGACAGGTGAAAACTCTAGCAGAGAACTGAACGCAATGGAGATGCGCGGCTGAAGCCCTATATTCCTCTAGGAATTGAAGGAAATAATAATAAGTGATTACATTCCTATCACTAGTCACCATTTTGTTACGCGTAAAATTTTAGAGCAGCTACTTTTTAGCAATGATAAGTATCGAAATTTAGTGTTTGACTGTGGTGCTACAATGATTTTGATGATTCTGACTCTCCTGATGTCTCCGATGGTGAGTACACAAAAGTCTTTAACGATGGCTTGGTATAGTCCTAATTTCGTTAGGATTTCAGACAGTTTATGGCGAATGCTTTGAGTGGGAGTTTGAGGGACATTTTGATAATTGAAGACAAAAATGTGTTAATATTTCATTTTATTCCTACTGCATACTAAAATATGCTTCAAACTTGTCAACTTCGTTTCAGAAATTCACAAATGCCTACTTATTATACAGAGTAAAAGAAATTACTTCTTACCTGGCAAAAAGCTCAATGGTGCTTTGACTGTTTCTTTTTCTACAGAAGTTGTGGAACCTGTTTCAATTTGTTCATAATTATTCTTTTCATATTCCCCAGTGGATAAATTGGAATGGACTAAAAGAAGGATCACACTGTAGAGAATAAGGTAATAGTTAACCACAAATCTAGGCGACATTCGTTACGATTTCTAAACAATTCACCCTGATAACAGCGGGGATATGCAAAGAAGTTGAAATACCATTCTACATTTATATATATATGCCAAATATTAACTTGTTCAATCATTAATTCGTAGCGTAAAGAATTTTTTTTGTAGCGACTTAAGGAAAACTTATCATGATTTATTGACTAGAAATTTTAAAAATAAGGGGCAAAAATTGACGATTAATAAGTATTTACCCGTATATATATTATTTCAAAAATATCTAAACAAAAGCTTATAAATAGTGTGAAACAGTTATGCGGGTTAAGACAGTTGTATACAGCATGTACATTTTAGTACAGCAGTAAAACAGTGTTTGCAATACTTCATGTATCCGGAGTCCTTGTATTGAATGAGTATGTGGTTTAATGAAAAAAAGATTGAATTTTTTAAATGTATCTCTTTCGGTTGGCAATGTACATTTAAGTTAGTAATGCGTTCTTATTTTATAGCTTACTATTCAGTTTTATGTAGAAATGTTAGAAGTATTAGTCATAGCGAGATTAGGATAGGCTACCTGTAAATCCTAAACCTAGCTGCCTATCATATAAACTCAGAAAGCTCACTATTAAAGAGGCACCAGTTGCAGACTGTTCTAGTGGTTGCTCAAATGACATAAGTACATGATCATATTCATCTGGATATCAGTCTAATCCCGACGATGTCTCAATCTAAATAATGAGACAGCTTAAGAAATGACTACATATCCCGATGGTATTAGTATAAACATATATATATACATATATTGCTGGTAAATAGGGACTCACAATATAATTTAAAACACGAATAAAGAGTCGATTTTATCCGAAATTACATCTCTGTACGCTTATGATAACAAATCATGGGTTTAGTGTGAAGGGAGCTACTGGGCAAGAAAAGTGGGAAAACCAGACTGCTAATCTGAAAGCATCTAATTCCTGTTTATACTTTGATTTTGCATATTTAGTAGCTGAAGCTCGCTGATGCAGTTATATTTTTCCAGCTTCACAAAAAGATTTTCGAATAACTTGACTATTTCCCATCGATTTGTGGTAAGAAAATAATGTAGTTCCCTCAACTAAGCAAGTTGTTTTTGTTAGATTCAAAGATTCACAAATAACAGCCCAACAAATATGCAAGAGAAAGTGCAGATGGATTGGACACTCGCTCGCTGAGGAGACCGCCGGTGACATCGCGCGCGCGTCAGGCCATTGCTCGAGTGGAACCCAAAAGGGAAGCGGCGAGTGGGTCGTCAGTGCAAGGGTGGATGACATGGAGGCGATCGTGTGAAGAGGAGCTGAAAGAGTATGGACTAACATGGATGCAGGTGAAAAGTACAGGAGTAGACAGAAGCAAGTGGAGACGTGCAGTTGAAGCCCTATGTTCCACTAGGAACCCAAAGGAACAATCATAATAATAGTCAGGAGAAATGATGCTTCAACCTTGGTCTCACTGCAAAGAAAAAATTCGATTAGGAAAATATTGCCTTCTTGTAGAACCAAATATATTAGGACACCACTTAGATGCGTCGTATACAAACGAAATCTCAGTCAAGACCGATTTGGACACATGCTCAGCATGCAGCCTGTTTAGAAAAAAAAACAATCGGTAGACTGGAAATTAGTCATCTGGATCAGTATTCAAACATGCTGATGTTGACAGACAGAAGAGAATTACACTAAATTGATTAAGTAGTCCTGATGTGACCCAAGAGAATTTAAGGTTATACGATGAAATTTACTAACCTTAGTTACAAGTTGGCAAAGTCTGTAGGTAAGCTCAGACGTGGTCATGACATTCTTGCAACTGTATCTCACTTCTTAATAAAGTGCTGTAAATGTCAATCAGCCTAGTTATGGACTATTCATGATGAAATATAAAATCTCAGAGAGCAGACAATTTCCATTAATCTCTCTTATCCAAAATATCTATTTTTGGCCCTTCATCATGATTAAATTCACTTCTCAGTGGAACATGAAATTGAAAAGAACTCGACTGTATTATATACTCTATGTAAAAACTCATTAAATTCAGAGATAAAAAAAGCTAAATTAAATAATTTATGAAGTTTCTAGAATTATGTTAGTTAGGTTCATTAAAAGGGGTTGTTATACAGTTTTTTTATTATAGGCGATACTATGTGTAATACAGTAAGGTGTCTATAGTGAACATTAAAAGCTAATGTCTCTTAATAGGGTTAGAAAACTAAAGTAGCAATTTTCTAATTGTAAGATTGCATGAGTGAATATTTCAATTCTGTGGATTAGGATTAGAATGAATGCTTCATTGGATGCCAATTCTGGTCTAGTCATATGCTTTGTGCATACAAATTGTTGTAATTAAATTTAGGCTCATTTATCACTTTTTCGTATTTATAAATTCATATTAAACACTACCATACTAATCTTTCTTTTCCATTTCGAATAATGATAAGTGTTCAGACAATACCTAAGCTCCATAAGTCAAAATATATAACTTGTCTGTATTTGGAAGTGAAGATATCAGTCCATTCTGTCTATCTTCTATCTTCTAAATTCTATTCAAAACCGTATAGATACAGAAACACAGTTTGAATACCTATACTATCAGCTTTCTGACCTGTAACCTGTGGATGAAGACAAACGAAGATGGCTAAAGTCCAAACTGGTTGATATAGCCAACCAATATCACACATCACCGTCCGGAAAACAAAATATGCTTACTGAGGAGCATAGAGCGGCACTAAGGAGACTATGTGAAAATGATGATATCGTCATGTTTAGACCCGACAAAGGCTCTGGAATTGTTATAATGAATAAAACTGATTATGTACATAAAATGTTGACAATTCTTAACGACTCCGGAAAATTCCAAGTGGACAAAACCAAGAAGGATGCAACAACGTCATTCGAAAATAAAGTAAATAAATGCCTCAAAGAACTACTCATCAAGAAACTGATTGACAACAAAACGTACAATGAACTCAAATCAAAGGGTGGACGACTCCCATTTATGTACGGTCTACCAAAAATCCATAAGGCCAATGTGCCCTTAAGGCCGATATTATCAATGATAAACTCACCATGCCACAAACTAGCCCGATGGCTAGCTGATTCATTGAAGCCAATTCGACAAAAATTTTCAAGTCATAGCTTGGATGACACCTTCCAATTTTCTAAAGAAGTCGATCACGTTGACATATCAGATAAACTGATGGTGTCATACGACGTGACTGCCTTATTCACAAATGTACCAGTGATGGAAACAATAGATATCATTTGTAAGCAAAGAGATCTATTGCCACTACCGGAGTCAGAGATGAAACGGCTACTAATTCTTTGCACAAAAGACATCCAATTTAGATTCAATAACCAATTTTACCGACAAATTGACGGGGTCGCCATGGGTTCACCCCTAGGACCCATTCTAGCAGACATCTTCATGGGCTATCTCGAACAGACAAGACTGAGTGACGCTATCAATGGAACAACATACTACCGTCGATACGTCGATGATACTTTTGTTGTTTGTAACGACATGAGTCATGCATCCGTAATATTTGACCGCCTAAATGAGGTCCACCCAAACATTAAATTCACCATGGAATACGAACACAACGATGAGTTTAATTTCCTGGACCTAAATGTAAAAAGAAGAAACGATGGAACGGTCGAAAAGTCCATCTACAGGAAAGAAACTTGGACCGGACAATACCTTCATTATAACAGCTTCTGCCCTATGAGCTACAAGCGGGGATTAGTAGGGACACCGTACGACAGGGCCAGGAAGTTATGTTCGCCTAACAAGGTAGAAGAAGAATTAAGCTTTGTCGAAAAATGCCTTAAGGAAAACGGGTATCCAAAAGGATTTATCCTAAAGTACAGCAAAGAAAGAGATGAGAAAGAGAAATCTCCAACAGTTGAGAAGAAGAAAGTGTTCATTTGCCTCCCATACAAAGGAGAAACCGTATCGCAAAAGATTGAAAAGAGGATGAAGGGAGCAATAAAGAGATGCTTCCCTGCAGCCAATTTGGTGACACTATACAGTACTACGTGCTCTATAAGGCAATCGAAACTGGATAAGTACCCTGCTGATGTTACCTCCAACTGCATTTATAAATTTACGTGTACCTGCGGCAGCAAGTACATTGGAAGGACAGAAAGAAGGGCTTCTATCCGGTTTTCAGAGCATATTCCAAGAAACTTATGCCTAAAAGGAAGCAGATATTTACAAAGTTCAATTACCAGACACCTTGTGGATACGGGTCATTTTGTCGAGATTTCTAAATCCTTCAAAATATTAAACATACAAAGGACAGCGAATCTACTACGATTTGCTGAAGCAATTGCAATCAAACGTCACAGACCAAACTTATGCATACAGAAAGAGAGTGTGGTCAATCTCTCACTCCCTTGGTAACCATATCACTTTCATTACACTGATTAGTCATACACACTAGTGAGCTCAACTCACTAAGCAAGTTTTCAAATTGATGAACCTTGACCTTCTTGAGTTGCTATGTTGACACTGTTTATTAGATTTTTCTGTTTTCTGTCTTCTCTCACCCCCTTTTTTTTCTTCTTTCATAGTTTGATAGTATATAAATTGATGGTGATTGACTTAGATTATATTACTTATATTCCAGATGCGTTCACCTTATAATGTTTTCTCTATTACCTTTCAAACAATGAAGTATGAAATGTTATTATTTATAACCATTGTAATTTCAGGTAGTTTGCAGCTGATGAGAACCTTTGAAATAGAATGATATCATTTTATACTGTAAATCTGGTCTTTCTTTCTCTATCGAAATGAAGATTTCGTTACGAGATGACCTCATATGGTGAATTACTGAAAGTGAAGGAGAACTGGACAGTTGGTCCGTTCTAGTTTGAAGAGTGCGCTTCAACAGTGCGCGCACACACACATAACTGACCGGTGCTTCTTGTCTTCAATGATTCTCTTCGTCTTGTTGGTTTGTGTAGTGTAGATTAAAACTAATGCAAGTTCCAATAAACCAAAAATTTTGAATATTTTGCATTCAATAATATAATCA